TATTTACATGAAGGTACATTGGGTTGGTGAGATTATAATAGTGATATTTGTACATTCTTGCAAATCCACTAACATGCATATCATCTTGGACAAGTCCTTAATCTGACATATCAGGTAAGATGAAAAGGTATTTATATCAACAATATAAATTCAGAGGTGATTACACTGGTGAAGATTAAATACTAATTAGTCTTAAGTACTAATATTGGGGAAGTGGGTAGTACAAGATACAGTGAGTGAGTGAATCACAAGGTAGGAAACCGAGGATGAAATTAGGTACTTTTTGGTTTTACCTTTGAACCGGGAATGAGTTGGACAATTTTTTAATTCATCAGGGAATGAGTTCCAAACACTGGGCCCTTTATTTTCATTTAGAGTTTGCACAGATTTAGCCTGACTTGGGATATAAAAGATATCCATCAACATGGGTGTTCCACAGGGCAGTATACTTGGCCCTCTCCTCTTTCTCATCTACATTAATGACCTTCCAATGCCTCTCAACATCTCAAACCAATTTTATTTGCTGATGACACTACCTTCATTTTCTCCAATCCAATTTTCTCCATATACCTCTACTCTGAATGTCACAGTGAATACTGAACTAAATAAAGTCCATCTTTGGCTAACTGCTAACAAAGCAGTTAGCCAAAGATGGACTTTATTTAGTTTAAGTTAGTTAATGCTCTTACCATTGACAAAACCTTCAATATTTTGTTTTGTAATAAATACTCAAATAAAATTAATCTAAGAATTAGCAATATTCAAATTAGTAACAAAGAAGGTAAATTCCTTGGTGTCCTCATCAATAACAGGCTTAACATCCATGGCCACATTCAACATATAGCAAAAAAGTTTCTAAAACTGTTGGCATTCTTTCTAAGATCAGATATTATGTACCTTGCCCTGCAAAAGTGGCGCTCTATTACTCTCGTCTATCCTCATCTCAATTATGGTATTTGTGCTTTGGGTTCTACTACCCAAAATCATCTACGTCCTCTAATTACCCAAAGCAAATCTGATATTAGAACAATAACAAACTCTGGTCCCAGACAGCAGACAGCACTCAGTCCCCCTCCCCTACTTAAATCTTTGAATATGTTAGATATTAAGTCACTGCACATCCTCTTAAGTGTACTCTATTTAAACTAGAAACAATTATCTATTTGATATTTCAAGAGTGCAACTTAACCAAACTAGAAATGCTCTTCAAATCCAGGGACCCAGAATGTGGAATGACCTCCCCAACCATGTCAAAGGCAGTACAGTACCTCTCTCAGTCAGTTTAAGAGTAAAACTAGATACTACCTAATAGACTCCATGTAACCTACCTTACCTCCTAAATGTCAACCCATGACTTGCTATTTTCAAACATTACTGATTATTGACCAACTTGTTTAACTGCGGATATTTGCCACGTATTAACCTAAGAGAAAATTGTAATCTTCTGTTTATTTAATTAAAATTCCTTCTGCTGTTCTGTTGCATTTTCTGCTGTTCTATCCACCATGAAACTATCACCATTCTCTTTTTTTTGTCTTTTTTCAATTCAATTTATGCTTTTGATCTCAATTAGTATTAAGTTTTACTCTAAGTTTTTTTTTCCCCCCACACCTTGCCTGTAACACTGAGCATATTAGTGGCTTCAGGCATTGTATGTACTAGCTCTATCTATCAATCTGACATTATATTTAACTTATTTTCAATGTATGTACCTTACCTGAATAAATATCTTCTTATCTATTTCTGGTATGGTGTTCATGGGTTCTATTACACCTATCAAGAAAAAGTTTCAGATCAAGGTTAGCATTTGAGAACAAGCTTTTGTACATGTAGATAACATATGAGAATATGTAGAATGAGTATGTTTAGCATGTTAAGGGACTTAAAAAGGGGGGCTGTGTGTTGTTTGAAGACAGTTTGCTATAGTTCTGATAGCAGATTTTGCCAAGTGATGATAGGCTTGAGGTAATTTGCAGTGGTTGAACCCCCATGCACAGATATGGTATGTAAGATAGGGATAGATTAGTGCATAGTATATTGAGAGGAAAGCAGAGTGAGGAACATAATATCTGATATAACTAGATACCAGTGTGTGTTTGGGCCTCAAAGGCAGTCTTTAACTGCCAATGGAAATGCTCCACCACATATTTGGACTCGAGATGGACTGTAGAGCAATTGCGAGTGGTGCCAAGGAAATGCAGAAGGTTCTGCCTCTGGAAAGACTTCAACTGGTGGCTCTGGTCTTTGACAGGCCACCCATCTCCCCAAATATGCCTCCAGGTTTCTGCTTTCACTACAACCAGCAATGTATGTATTGCTTTTCAAAGTTACTGCTCCTAGAAACATTATGGCCCTTCCTGTACAGCTAGACACCCAGCCTTCAGGCCCTGCTCCAAGAACCATAGATCAACACACCTACTGATTTATTTTATGACAAATGCTCTGCATATTAGTGACTTTGTTAAATGTACATAATCTTTAACAATTAATTAACCAATATATTATGTTTTCTATTTTTCAATAAAAATTATTATTATTATTACTATTAACTGCCTATCAAGAAAAAACAGTGTTAGACAGGTTGAAAGTTTACTCCTTTACAGACTACCTTGCCATGCAAAAGGAAGGATGAAGTACGATCGAAGAGCAACAGAAAGGTAATCACAGGTAGAAGTATTTTCTTGAATGTACCCGAGGGCCACCGTCTCTCTAGTGGCCTGAAGCAGAACAGGAAGTCGGTGGCTTGTCAAAGGTTTCACATTGCTCCTGAGGATTTTTTTTTAACTGGATTATAAACTTGGCATTATTAGCATTTAGCAAAGCTGGATTTTGAAATTCAGCAGTGTTTTGGCATTTATGGCTTTAGCGTGTAGGTGGTTCCATGGGTTTATAACCTTATGGGTGAGAAAGCATTTCTCATTGTAGTGAGTAATCCTTATACTCGCTCCATTATCTCATTATCTTAATGGCGTAACTAATTAGCACTAACTACGCAAGCTATAATCCTATCCCTAATTACAGGTAACAGTTCCCACAGCCTCCTATCCTAGTAGAAAAGGGTGAGGGGTAGTCACCAAATATAAGGAAGCAATATGAGAATAGACAACATTACAATTTCTAGTCAAGAATGTAGCACTCGGCGTAGGCCGAGTGCTAATCGTCTCCAAGACGCTACAGCTTCAACACAGGACAGGCATCAGACCAGGACCGCATCCAGCTACAATGCTCTCCCACATAGAGCTCCGCAACTCCAGCCACACTCGGCTCTCTGCTCTGCTCCAAGCTCCGCATCAACGTCTACGACACTGCTGTATCCAAGACTATTAAATAAATATGAAATTCGCTAAACACCCTATCTAATCTACCCAACAACGTAACACCATTTTCTGTCATTGTGGCTTGAGCTTGAAAGCACTGCTCCTTGCTTGAGTTACATCTGACCTTGTAAAGAAGCGGTCTTGATCAATATCCTCCAAATGGTTTAGCATTTTAACAATAAAACAATTTGGAGGATGTTGCTCTGGACAACTTCTTCAAAAAGTCAGATGTAACACAAACAAGGAGCAACGGTTTCAAGTTCAACAAGCCACAATGTAGGACAGAAAACAGATGTTTTTTTCACCCACAGGGTCATTAACCCATGGACTTGCCTACCCACCAAAGCTGTAAATGCTAAAACTCTGCTGAACTTTAAAATCCATCTAAAAAAAGGCAATCAAGGTAAATGGGGGGGGGGCCTTCAACAAGCCACAGGCTTCCTGTCCCCATCAAGCCCACTAGTGTTTTTAGTGCCCCACAGGTAAATTAAGGTACATTTATAAAACTCCTCCCTTTTTTATAGGAATACCAGTGCCCAGTTGGTCCTAAGCCACTTGAAACATTTTCTATTATTAGACAATGTGTTCAATAGCTATTTGTTATATTTTTATCATGTACAGTATTTTTGTCATAGTTTAATTGTCAATAGCAGGTCATGTTCTTACTACAGATATAAACAAAATTTTAACCACACTTATTACCCAAGAAATAAGGAGTAGCAGGAGAAGACTAGTAGGGAAAGGATTAAGTAAAATATAAGCTAACAAGTTCAAGTACATTTATTGAGACAATAAAATACATCTCAAAAGGATAAGAGTAACTTAAGCTGTGTTGTTGTTATAGATTCAGCTACTTGGAACAAGTTCCAAGTAGCATGGGCTATAGTGAGCCCGTAACTTACCCGGCACAGGAGCGGGGCAAGTAGCACGGGCTATGGCGAGCCCATAGTGGACTTAGTCTGAACTTAAGCTATTTCTACCCTACTATAAGCTACCTGTGGTGAGAACCCTCGTGCAGGACTTCCCCTCACAACCCCTCACTTCACCCTCAGTCCCCCCGGGAGACATCTCCCGTCACGCAGGGTGCAGTCGCACCTCCACAGATCTCCGGTATCAGTTCTTGATACTGGTAATGGCTCAAAAGGGCCTCCACTTACGGGCTATTCATGCCCGTGCCACCTTTTGGGTGGCTTAATCTTCATCAATCAATCAATCCTCAGTCCCAGAACACCGCCCCCAGCCACGCCAGTATGCATGGGGTCCACATCATGGATCTCCCACTCACTTCCTACACACATCATTCCCAAACCATCTTGATCTGGATCATAGTTATATATATTCCCATCTCTGCCCGTGGGAACATGAACACATCCGTGGCTCGACGCATTACCCTGCCAAAGAAGTATATCAATGTCACCAGAGGTCCGCCATAGCTCGGCTGTGACGAAACATACTCTCGATTTTCAGCAATGGTCATCCTATACTCACCTATGCCTTAACCAGGAGGTTGATCAATGCTTTTGCTGCATTTTAAGGCATCTAGCTGCCAAGAGCCGCCTCTGCTAATTACCTGCCAATCCACAACAAAATCCAGACACCCCAAGATGCGTCCCAGACCGGAAAGTATCCCAAACGTGACACAATATATCCCACTTTATTAATACATACGTTTCTCTCACTAACCACTAATGATGGCGAAATACACGTATACCTATACATATACATGCAAGATGCGTGTCAGCCTGTCTGTAGTTGAGTGGGGAGTATAGGCCAACATCACGTTTTCAAAACACTGACTTGCTGACCCAGGCCGCCATCACCAGAGCTCACCCTCCACATTTATAATAATAATAATATATAAAAATCTCATGCACACAGTATGGTATGGTATACATCAAAGTGCGTTTATACCTCTTAATATATTTACTACGTTTTATTGCGTGGCTTTTAATGTAGACTACGTCAATGTAGTTTTACATTTTCCATTCTTCAAATGTGCACCAAATATTTAATTTAAATGTTTTACATATTTTAACCAAAATTGGTTGCTCTTTATGTTATATGTAAATTTTTCATACAATTTTAATAAATAAAATTAAATTATTAAAGAATTTAAGCACAAATTAATATTTCTTACCCTTGTGGTAATTAAGAATCTCAATCATAGATGGCGTCGAAGTCACCCAAGAGTTTGCTGAAGAGTTACCACGTAAAGAGACAACCTCACAGACCTACACTGAACTGAAGTTGCTAGTAATTAGGTACTTTTAAAACAATTGGTGAATTAAGTTCTTAGTTTAGTTTAGTTTAGTTCATTTATTATACACCCCATACCCATCTTGTGGGCGGTAGTGGAAAGGGTTACAGGAGGCACATAATGGGCTCAGGGACTGAACCCCACAATTCATTTAGCTAAGCAAGTTACAATCTTGATGAGCTAGTTACAAAATTCAATATAAGTCGTCACATCATCAATGGGTTTAAGATCAACCACAGGGGAAAATAGCTTTCGCGCTCCGAATTTACCTGAGTTTACCTGAGGCCCAATAATACACTAGTGGCCTCGATGAGGACAGGAAGCCTTCGGCTTGTCAAAGGTCCTGAAGATATTTTCAAGCTGCATTTTAAATTTCAGCAGAGTTTTGGCATTTATGGATTCGGCGGGTAGGCGGTTCCGTGGGTTTATAACACGTACTGTGGGTGAAGAAACATCTGTTTTCAGTCCTACACTGTGGCTTGTTGAACCTAAAACCGTTACTCTTTGTTTGTGTTACATCTCAAGTTCAAGTATGTTTATTTAGACAAGAAAGAAATACATCTCAAAGGAATAGAGTAGCTTATGCTATTTCTACCCCCCTCTACTTCAAGTCCCTCAAGGGGCGCACAAATTCAATGAGTACAAATACACAAATCACAATACAAGAATCTCATTTAACATTGCAGGTTAATATAGTAAGCACCGCATATAAGTGTTACACTCTTGGGGCAAAATTCTTGTAGCTCCTAAGTATACTATCATACCATTATCACACATCCAAACAATTTAATGTGGTACACTACTTATTTCCTTATTTCTATTGTTATCAATAAGTTGACACTCTAATACATAATGTTCTAAGGTGTGGGCGTGCGGCATACTACATAATATACACTCCTTATCTTTTTCACCGACATCAACACCGTATTGCCAGATATATTTGTATCCTAATCTTAATCTCATGTAAATTGAATCCTTCCAAGTAGACTTTCCTCTACCATAGGTGAAGGACGAATTTGTATTTATTATTGAATAAATCTTAAGTGTGTTACTACTGTCCACCATTGCCATTCTCTTTACCATTTGTTCACTCTCTTGGATCATCTTGATTCTTGTTTTTATTTGTTTCAAGGTTATCTGACATACAACATCAACAAGAGTTTTTTTCCTTGGCTCTTCGCTATCTCATCAACTATCTCTTTCAACAGTATTCCCACATGTGAAGGGATCCACATGAATCTTACTTTATACCCAGTTTTTTCTAATTTCTTAACATTCTCTATACACTCTATCACAGTATACTAGGCGTCTGCTATTTAAAGACTCTAACGCTCCTCTGCTGTCAATAAAGAAGCAGGCATTTTTACCACATTTGACTGCTTCCTGTAATCCTGCTAATACACCTTTGAGTTCAGCCTGCGTTGAAGAGACTGTCAGTTAAGCGGCGTCCAATAGCAGTATCTACAGTACCGATGTCAGGGTACTCCCTGATCAAGACTCCACATCCTGCCTTCCCATTCTTAGGGATGGGAATCGTTTCCATCGTTTCTGCCCGAAACGCTTTGCGTAATAGTGGCTTTAGGTATTGTATGTACTAGCTCTATCTATAAATTCATCAATATTTGTATCACCCCTTGTATGTATGTACTTTACCTAAATAAACATTTGAATTTAGCTATTGACCCATCACAATATACATGTAGAGTGTTTTCTGTAGGTAATTTTCTAATTATACAATCATATGTTGCCCTCAGCTCTCCTATTTCATACATACTTTTTTTCTTTTGCAAGGGAATAATTACTACATCTACATTACAATCCTCCCATGGTGGTGTGAATTGTCTCTTAAGGACAGCAATACACTCTGTAATAACATCATACTTTATAACATTATTGATTGATTGATTGATAAAGATTAAATAGCCCGTAAGTGGTACAATTCTTTTTTCAGTAATTCTGTTTCACCACCATCTTCACCCCGTCTATCCTTCATAGCCAATTTTTCCAATGCCTCAATCCCCTTGTCTAATTTTTTTAGATACTCCAATATTTGATTACCAACCTCAGAATTCACCATATTGTCCTGGCCCTTGTCCCCACAAGGTTTCATTTTTTCAACTGCATTACCTACTTTCCCTAGGCTCGTTTTAGTTATTTCCGTTACTTTCTCCCACACATTGTTCATAGGGGCTGTCGTTGGCTTTCGGCAGTTTCCTCTATGTTCCTGCAGCACAATCTTTCCTTCATGCGAGGATACATCTATCCTGCTTGTAGGACCCGTCCTGAAGTCACTCAGATGAGGCTTCATGGGGCATAGATAGGAACCAGCATTGTGGCTGCCTCGACAATTGCAACAAGATGGGACGAATTTTTCACCTTTTCCAATCTTGACTCTACACTCTCGCGAGTCGTGTCTTGGGATGTGGTGCCCAAGCGCTGCGTTCCGTCGTAGAAGTCGGCATCTGGGTCTGGAGAAGATGGCCTCTGGTCTTGTTGAGGACGCCTGAAGGTGCGGTGAAAGGCATCTGAAGTAGGAAAGGTATCCAAAGTCGAAATCTTGGCCAGATCTCTTGAAGCTGAAGTCAACAGTCTTCAAGATGAAGTCCGTCGTCCTGGCGCTGTTTAAGTCGATCCATCTAGCGCTGCTGAAGTCTTGGCCCTCATCATCGTCGTTTTCTTCCATCTCCTTTTTTCTTGCTGCACGATATTGGGTGGCAGCCCACGTTAACAAGTAATAAACGCCAATGTGTCAGGGCAGAAGCTGAACAAGTGCAACGGGATCCTTGCAGTAGGTGTCAATCATACTTGGAAAGGGCATGGAAGTCCCCCGTATCGGGACCGGCCTCGCCGGGTCCCTCAACAAGAAAGCTTGGCCAGGATGAGTGGGGTTGCGGTCTGCGGCTAGCCTGTGAACACTGCAATTGTAAGTGCATACTGCACACTACATGTGCGTACAATATTAGGTCAACCGACCTAAAGAGTTCAGCCAGTTACTCTTGTGCTCACCAGGCCTGGGTTTGCCTATCTGCACAAAAGGTGGAGCAAGCTCTTCTCGATTGGCCCAGACTTTTGGGTCGATCCGCGGCAAAAGTCAGATTCAGATTCAGATGTTTATTCAGGTAAGGTATATACACACAAGTGATGTTAAATTAATGGATTGATATATAGATAGAGCTAGTACATACAATGCCTAAAACCACTATTACGCAATGCGTTTCGGGCAAGAAAAACATTAATATCTAGAACTTAATACTAATTGAGCATAAAGAATAAAAGATGTTGAGAACAAATACAAATAAAGATAAAAAAAAGGGGGAACATGACTGAAAAAGCAGCACAAATACAATAGGTTGACAAACAGTGTTGATTAAAAAAAAGAAAAAAAAAAGAAAATAACAGACATGGGTTGACAATAGAGGAGTGAGGTAGATTACAGGGAATTTATTAGGTAGTGTTTAGTTTTTATCTTAAACTGGTTGAGAGAGGTACAGTCTTTAACATGGTTGGGAAGGTCATTCCACATTCTGGGCCCCTTGATTTGCAGAGCATTTCTAGTTTGATTAAGACGTACTCTAGGAATATCAAAACTGTATTTATTTCTGGTGTGGTGCTCATGGGTTCTGTTACAACCTTCTATGAAGCTTTTAAGATCAGGATTGGCATTATAGTTTAGCGTTTTATATATGTATAATACACATGAGAGAATGTGCAGTGACTTAATATCTAACATATTAAGAGATTTGAGTAGGGGTACCGAGTGATGTCTGGGGCCAGAGTTGGATATTGTTCTAATAGCGGCTTTGTGTTGGGTAATTAGAGGACGTAAGTGATTTTGGGTAGTAGAACCCCAAGCACAAATACCATAGTTGAGATAAGGATAGATAAGGGAGTAATAGAGAGTCACCAGAGCAGGGCGTGGTACATAATATCTGATCTTAGAAAGAATGCCCACAGTTTTTGAAACTTTTTTTGATATATTTAGAATGTAAGTGGAGCAAGCTCCTAGCCCTATGCCTTTTCCGTGGTTAAGGGGAAACAGCACACTTAAAAACCACTTGAGAGGGTTGCAATAGGGCTTTCTTTGACTGCTTATTGCTTCATTACTACACTTTAATTTTAGCCAAGAGTCCGAGAAGGTATCTTAACCTGATCCCTTCCAAGTGATATATTGTCGTAATGGGTTGGCGCTTTTTCGTGATAACTCAATTCAGTTCAGAACCTTCTTGTGAATAAAATTATTATTATTATTATTATTATTATTATTATTATTATTATTATTATTATTATTATTATTATTATTATTATTATTATTATTATTATTATTATTATTATTAGTGAGGACTGCCCGGAGGCTCTGGCACCAGCATCATACGATGGCCGTTGACGCCACAAGACCCAATCGTTTTCTACTCTAGTAATTTTCCTGTCAGTAGCTGGTTATGGTGCTCTTGCAGGTAGTTTCATTTGACGGGGGGCGCTGTTTTTGGGGGTCGTTGCCACCCCTTTTGTGTAGCTGCTTTAATGGGACGAGTATAGTTTCCAGTGTTGAGGCGAAATTTGTAGACCACTTTTGTCTTGGAGCACCTTGGTCGTCACACTAATTTTCACATTTTTCTTCCAAATGCCTCCCAACACCTCAAACCAATTCTATTTGCTGACGACACAACCTTCATTTACTCCAGTCCTGATCCCCTTGCTCTAAATGCCACAGTAAATACTGAGCTAAATAAAGTCCATCTGTGGCTAACTGCCAACAAACTCACCCTTAACATTGACAAAACTCTCTATATTCTGTTTGGCAATAAATCCTCTAATCAAATAAACCTCAAAATAAACAATACCCAAATTTGTAACAAGTTAGATGGCAAATTCCTTGGCGTTCTCATTACCACAAGCTGAATTTCCAGGGACACATTCTAAACATATCAAAAAAAGTTTCAAAAACTGTGGGCATTCTTTCTAAGATCAAATATTATGTACCACGCCCTGCCCTGGTGACTCTCTATTACTCCCTTATCTATCCATATCTCAACTATGGTATTTGTGCTTGGGGCTCTACTACCCAAAATCACTTACGTCCTCTAATTACTCAACACAAAGCTGCTATTAGGACAATATCCAATTCTGGCCCCAGACATCACTCGGTACCCCTACTCAAATCTCTGAATATGTTAGACATTAAGTCACTGCACATTCTCTCATGTGTATTATACATATATAAACCGCTAAACTATAATGCCAATCCTGATCTCAAAAGCTTCATAGAAGGTTGTAACAGAACCCATGAGCACCACACCAGAAATAAATACAGTTTTGATATTCCTAGAGTACGACTTAATCAAACTAGAAATGCTCTACAAATCAAGGGGCCCAGAATGTGGAATGACCTTCCCAACCATGTTAAAAACTGTACCTCTCTCAACCAGTTTAAGTTAAAAACGAAGCTATACCTAATAAATTCCCTGTAACCTACCTTACCCCTCTATTGTCAACCCATGTATGTTTTTTGTTTTTTCTTGTTTTTCAAATCAACGCTGTTTGAATGTAATTTTCTGTAATAATTTGTAATTGTATTTGTGCTGCTTTTTCAACAATGTTCCCCCCTCTTTTACCGCTATTTTTATTTGTACTCAACACATTTTGTTCTTTTTACCCATTAGTTTTAAGCTTTAGTCATTAGTGTTTTTTCCTGCCCGAAACGCTTTGCGTAATAGTGGCTTTAGGCATTGTATGTACTAGCTCTATCTATAAAGCCAACAAACTTTGTAAAATCTCTTTATGTATGTACCTTTACCTAAATAAATATTATTATTATTATTATTAAGGAGGGTTCTGTAACTCAGTCATGAAGTTCGAGTAGCTGAAGTTTTGGTGATATACTTAATCCTTCACACAGTGAGTGTATAGTAGTGAAATCTGTTATTATATGATTAGAAAATTTGTTAAAACCCTAATTCTAAGGTCATTATTTAGAAATTTTGCCTTTTTGTCTTCAGCTGTTGTTGTTGTACCAGGGGCCATGACAGTCGGGGGATGTCAAGCAAGGAAGCTCGCTTATGGGAAAGCAAAAAATAGATAATAACGTGAATTCTTGAAGGAATTGATTAACCAATATTGGCGAGGGTTCCACCGAGGATACGTACGAACACGGTGTTCGTACGTACGAACACCGTGTTCAACCCCCTTGGTTGTTAAGTGAGGGCGCGGAACAACGAAGGGGCTCAACCACCGAGGTAATATATAGCTCAGAGGGTTCAACCTAAGAAAATGTGAGAGCGGGTGCCCAAGGAGGATGTCGCTGGTGGACGGTTCTCAATGCGAAGTTCCAAATTGGCGCGCGCCACCACTTTGTCGAACGTCTCGGGCGACAACTTTTTCCTGTAAATTTACAAATGGAATAATATTAATGATGATGAACACAGTCTAACTCGGCCAGCAAAACATCCACATCAACTCTTCCCCGCTTCCTACACTCACATGTAATTAAGTCTCATAAGTTGTCGTTTTAAAAATATGTCAAATACTCCCCATTAAAAAATTGATTACAAGTAGCTTTTTTCTCTACCGCTTTTCATCCGCTACATACACTCACATTATCTAACCTGCTCTTCTGGATCTTTCTCTCGTCCTCTAACATTTTAAGTTTGTTCAAACATACTTTCTTCAATACTTTTATAATCCATGCATGAATATGACCAAACAATCCCAACAAATCTTTCTCAATTTGTTATGATAAACTTACTTTTATACCCTATATTTGTCCAAAATCTTTTTCATTCCTTACTTTATCTAACAACAAATTCTCCAAAGATTAGTAATTAATGCTCACCTATACCAACAGGTTTGTTTATGCTCATGTCACACGTACGTGCACCAGCATCTCACATCAACGAGATTATTTGTAAGAATATCCAATTATCCAAGAATTATCCCATTATCAATGATTTTAGACCAAACGGTATTAAATTTAAGGTTTTCTAATCATTTCATTCACTCAATGAAATGAGAAAATCTGCTGGTAGTCAATATGTAAGATGTTTGGTAGTGCAGTCTTATAGACACGACTCACATTGGTGGTGTACGAACACCCATCCTGCCAGACAATGATGGTAAACCTATAGTTAATTGGTGCAGAGCGCGGGGCTCTGCTTTAAGACTTGCCTACCCACTAAATGGTAGGCAAGTCTTAATTAACTACATACTAAATGGTAGGTAAGTCTTAACTACCCACTAAATGGTAGGCAAGTCTTAACTACCCACTAAATGGTAGGCAAGTCTTAATTAACTACATACTAAATGGTAGGTAAGTCTTAACTACCCACTAAATGGCAGGCAAGTCTTAACTACCCACTAAATGGTAGGCAAGTCTTAACTACCCACTAAATGGTAGGCAAGTCTTAACTACCCACTAAATGGTAGGCAAGTCTTAACTACCCACTAAATGGTAGGCAAGTCTTAACTACCCACTAAATGGTAGGCAAGTCTTAACTACACACTAAATGGTAGGCAAGTCTTAACTACCCACTAAATGGTAGGCAAGTCTTAACTACCCACTAAATGGTAGGCAAGTCTTAACTACACACTAAATTGTAGGCAAGTCTTAACTACCCACTAAATGGTAGGCAAGTCTTAACTACCCACTAAATGGTAGGCAAGTCTTAACTACCCACTAAATGGTAGGCAAGTCTTAACTACCCACTAAATGGTAGGCAAGTCTTAACTACCCACTAAATGGTAGGCAAGTCTTAACTACCCACTAAATGGTAGGCAAGTCTTAACTACCCACTAAATGGTAGGCAAGTCTTAACTACCCACTAAATGGTAGGCAAGTCTTAACTACCCACTAAATGGTAGGCAAGTCTTAACTACCCACTAAATGGTAAGCAAGTCTTAACTACCCACTAAATGGTAGGCAAGTCTTAACTACCCACTAAATGGTAGGCAAGTCTTAACTACTCACTAAATGGTAGGCAAGTCTTAACTACCCACTAAATGGTAGGCAAGTCTTAACTACCCACTAAATGGTAGGCAAGTCTTAACTACCCACTAAATGGTAGGCAAGTCTTAACTACCCACTAAATGGTAGGCGAGTCTTAACTACCCACTAAATGGTAGGCAAGTCTTAACTACCCACTAAATGGTAGGCAAGTCTTAACTACCCACTAAATGGTAGGCAAGTCTTAACTACCCACTAAATGGTAGGCAAGTCTTAACTACCCACTAAATGGTAGGCGAGTCTTAACTACCCACTAAATGGTAGGCAAGTCTTAACTACCCACTAAATGGTAGGCAAGTCTTAACTACCCACTAAATGGTAGGCAAGTCTTAACTACCCACTAAATGGTAGGCAAGTCTTAACTACCCACTAAATGGTAGGCAAGTCTTAACTACCCACTAAATGGTAGGCAAGTCTTAACTACCCACTAAATGGTAGGCAAGTCTTAACTACCCACTAAATGGTAGGCGAGTCTTAACTACCCACTAAATGGTAGGCAAGTCTTAACTACCCACTAAATGGTAGGCAAGTCTTAACTACCCACTAAATGGTAGGCAAGTCTTAACTACCCACTAAATGGTAGGCAAGTCTTAACTACCCACTAAATGGTAGGCAAGTCTTAACTACCCACTAAATGGTAGGCAAGTCTTAACTACCCACTAAATGGTAGGCAAGTCTTAACTACCCACTAAATGGTAGGCGAGTCTTAACTACCCACTAAATGGTAGGCAAGTCTTAACTACCCACTAAATGGTAGGCAAGTCTTAACTACCCACTAAATGGTAGGCAAGTCTTAACTACCCACTAAATGGTAGGCAAGTCTTAACTACCCACTAAATGGTAGGCAAGTCTTAACTACACACTAAATGGTAGGCAAGTCTTAACTACCCACTAAATGGTAGGCAAGTCTTAACTACCCACTAAATGGTAGGCAAGTCTTAACTACCCACTAAATGGTAGGCAAGTCTTAACTACCCACTAAATGGTAGGCAAGTCTTAACTACCCACTAAATGGTAGGCAAGTCAAAATTATAAACTGGAGTACGTGATGTGAAGGCATCACGTACTCCAGTTTATAACTTTGACGTAAAAAATCCTAAGGAATAATGGGTGAACATTTGACAAGCCACCGGCTTCCTGTACCCCCTCGATGACACTACAGATAATGGCCCTCGGGTAAATTTTTAACAATAAAAAAAAAGTAGCGTGACCAACTTAAGCATTACATATATATATACTTTTCTTAAAAAAATGTTTATGTATACATGTTATGTGAAGACCTATGCATTGATATGTAATATAAATGGTCGAAGAAAATATAATAAAGGTAGAAAGTGAAACAGGAATTTCCTTAAGTACTTTCGTATATTAAATACATCTTCAGAAGGAATCCTTCAGAAGGAAGGATTTCCTTCTGAAGATGTATTTAATATACGAAAGTACTTAAGGAAATTCCTGTTTCACTTTCCTCCGTGGTCTGACATTGTCACATTCTTAATCACGTGTTTATTTTCGTGATATACACACACAAGGTAGAGACAATATATATGTATCTAAGAAATTTAGGAAAGACACTCGAGGATGAGCATCCCTTTGTGGAGGGTGAGCATCCATTTGTGGAGGGTGAGCATCCATTTGTGGAGGGTGAGCATCCATTTGTGAAGGTGAGCATCCATTTGTGGAGGGTGAGCATCCATTTGTGGAGGGTGAGCATCCATTTGTGGAGGGTGAGCATCCATTTGTGGAGGGTGAGCATCCATTTGTGGAGGGTGAGCATCCATTTGTGGAGGGTGAGCATCCATTTGTGAAGGTGAGCATCCATTTGTGGAGGGTGAGCATCCATTTGTGGAGGGTGAGCATCCATTTGTGAAGGGTGAGCATCCATTTGTGAAGGGTGAGCATCCATTTATGGAGAGTGAGCATCCATTTGTGGAGGGTGAGCATCCATTTGTGGAGGGTGAGCATCCATTTGTGAAGGGTGAGCATCCATTTGTGAAGGGTGAGCATCCATTTGTGAAGGGTGAGCATCCATTTGTGAAGGGTGAGCATCCATTTGTGAAGGGTGAGCATCCATTTGTGGAGAGTGAGCATCCATTTGTGGAGGGTGAGCATCCATTTGTGAAGGGTGAGCATCCATTTGTGAAGGGTGAGCATCCATTTGTGAAGGGTGAGCATCCATTTGTGGAGAGTGAGCATCCATTTGTGGAGGGTGAGCATCCATTTGTGGAGAGTGAGCATCCATTTGTGGAGGGTGAGCATCCATTTGTGGAGGGTGAGCATCCATTTGTGGAGGGTGAGCATACATTTGTGAAGGGTGAGCATACATTTGTGAAGGGTGAGCATACATTTGTGAAGGGTGAGCATACATTTGTGAAGGGTGAGCATCCATTTATGGAGGGTGAGCATCCATTTGTGGAGGGTAACCCTACAACCTGTGGCTGGCCTCGTTTACTCCAGCAGCCAGCCCTGGCCCTGCTACCTGATATGTGCCTCTAACCCTTTTAACTACCGCATCCGGGATGGGTATGGGGTGCATAATAAATAAACTAAACTAATCACACCTGAACCTATAAATGCTTCCCTCACATAATGTAAAATATTAATAACTGCCGACAGCAAAAAAACAACCTTAACCTGACCTGCCCTACGTCTAATTATATACAAATACATTGTATAAAATATTAATAATCTATATAAGAAAAATACTTTATTTCCACAGTACGGAAAAATTAAGAAATGCTACTTTGGGGGGCGCCTCAGCTTAAGCAAGCATTTTTTTTTTATTAACAGACTTAGTTAATAACTCAACATTGTTAAGTATGCCTTGCAAGAATAGCTGATTATATTGCCCGAAACGCTGTGCGTATTAGTGGCTTTAGGTATTGTATGTACTAACTCTGTCTATAAATCCAACTTCATGTTTGTAACTCATCTTCTCTGTATGTATTTTTACCTGAATAAACATTTAAATTTGAATTTGAATGTCTGCCACCCTGATTTATATGACGGATTACAGAAACTAGCTATTGTTTCACCTACTATTCCCACCTCACAGGATGGTTAGTCATACAAGGACTTAGGAGAGAACATGAAGAGGAAGGCTGATCTATTGGCCTCCACTAGCAAACTCTGGGGAGAGCACAAGAATATCTTCCAATATTCGTGAGTCTATGAAGCAGTTACAGAGCTCAAAAAGTACTTCATACCATGCATGGTATGAAGTACTTGATAACAGGGCGATCACAGATATAGTGTTCGAGAGTATTTCCTAGCTTTTGTTCACACAGCTGAACAATGTTCAACTGTGTGTGTTGAACACACAGTTATAATGTTCACCGTTGGGGGATTCATTACCTGCAGCCACCTGCCATAGATATCGATATTCCAGCTTAATTCTGGCGATTACAATGTCACACTGTCTAGTGGATATTTTGTGCTGTCTCAACATAACTATATAATATAATAATTAATTATAATTATTATATTATATAGGTCTCGGTTCTGAACATATCATAACTCTTTATACTCACACGCAAGGCTGGAGGAAAATGAAGATAATAAATGAAAGAAGAAAAATTGCAAAGATAGGAAAGGAATATATAAATGTTGCTACTGTACCTGAGGTTCTCTCTGAGGGCAGCGGTGGTGAGGGCCGTGGAGCGCGCCCTGCACACCTGCCGTTCCCTTTCCCGCCACACCCCTAGCGAGCGCTGGTCTTTGGCCTCCAGGTTCTTCTTGGCCAGCTGCAGCTCCGCCTCCTCCCGCGCCAGCACCCTTGTCACAGAGATAAACACATATAAACTTCAAAGGCCAAGTCTTCAAAAGCTAAGTTTTCAAAGGCCAAGTCTTCAAAGATCAAGTCTTCAAAGACCAAGTCTTCAAAGACCAAGTCTTCAAAGACCAAGTCTTCAAAGGCCAAGTCTTCAAAGACCAAGTCTTTAAAGGCCAAGTCTTCAAAGGCCAAGTCTTCAAAGACCAAGTCTTCAAATGCCAAGTCTTCAAAGACCAAATCTTCAAATGCCAAGTCTTCAAAGACCAAATCTTCAAATGTCAAGTCTTCTTTGATAAATATATGAAAAAAATTAATATTTGTTTTCTGCTCGACAGGCTTCAATACATCCCACAAATTAACGATGGAATGCCTTCAATAACTATGAAGATATGTCGTAGATATCAATCTACGGCTCATTATTAAACATTTATTTTTTTAATCACTAAAATAAGGTGAGAGAGAGCCAGCACGTACTGCTGCAGGAGGTGGTGGTGGTGGTGTGAGCGCGAGGTGCGGTCAGCATGGATGCGGGAGGAGCGGGTGTTAAGGTAGAGCTCCTGGCGGGTTTCGGCCGCAGCCATGGCGTCCATCTGGTGGCGGAGGACGTGTTGGCGCCACTGCATCATGGCCGCCTCCAGCTGGTGGTGCAGAGCCCGCACCGCCATTGCCCGCCGCTCACGCTCGTCTCTGTCCTCACGCAAGTTATCAGTGTTACCTTTATCAAAACTTGCTTTATTCTAGCTTTGTTAACTTTACTATTAGTGAACAAATCCACAGGAGACATGATGAGGGTTCGAACCTATGCAGGGGTGTTCCCAGGCACGCTTTAGTCGACTACGCCACACCACATGAGCCTCATGGTGGCTCATGTGGATTTGTTCATTGGTATAGCATGAAAATGTTATTTCTCTGTGTGTTTACTATGAGTGCTAATTATTGACTTTGCAAGAATCTCAAATTTGCACAAACATTTTATGTGTGACATTCATGTGTTTTAAATAGCAAAAAAAGTGTCCTATAAACACATTGGTATGCCTACCTTTAAGCACAAAAAAGATTTTTAACTATAAATGTAAAGAAAAACAAGCTCAGTTAACTTATAATCATATTTATCACCCATAAATAAAGTTGTAAAAATAAAAATAAGATTATAAGGAATTTACACCCCCACATACGTTAGAATTAAAACTGATCATATGCTGGGTTGAATAAAGTTTGTTCATTAAAAAAAATACAAAATAAGCTAACGGATTATATTATAATATATATAATATTCACACCATAGTTTACTTGTTAAGAAAGTTCATCTTAAATTATGCCTATTTCTACTTCAGCACAAACAAGCTCTATTATTTGTCAAACTTTGAAAGTACTAGTACAATCTATAATATTGTAAAAGTTTATTTTTGAAGACAAAAATTATATATGTTCAATCATAATAATGCCGATTGTGCTGGATGTTTTGTAAGCCTAAACACACATATATGCTCTCACAATGTTAACATTCTCCAAATATGAACTCTTATTTTAATTTGTGGAATTAATCTTAACGTTTTGATTGAGGCCTACTTGCTACTATATACTTGCTGGCTCCTATAATATCCTTAATATAAAAAATTATCCTTTTGAGTTGTAGTTCACAAACACACACACGGACATACAAACTGAACCAAAATCACCAACTCAATTCACTATTCTGAAAAAATAATGCACAAAAATTGATCAGATCTTAACTACAGAAAAGAATCCTACGGTATTAGACCTTCCAAGTTCCAGGTCCCTTCTGCCATACTCCCACTCCTTTCCCCCCATCTTTTACATCTACTCTCATAAGAACATAAGAACAAAGGTAACTGCAGAAGGCCTATTGGCCCATACGAGGCAGCTCCTATCTATAACCACCCAATCCCACTCATAAACATGTCCAACCCACGCTTGAAACAATCGAGGGACCCCACCTCCACCATGTTACGCGGTAATTGGTTCCACAAATCAACAACCCTGTTACCGAACCAGTATTTACCCAATACATTTGGGTACTCTCTCGGCTCCCGTGCCAGGTAAATCCACTACTGGCTCACCATAGCCCGTGCTACTTGCCCCGCTCCTGTGCCAGGTAAGTTACGGGCTCACCATAGCCCGTGCTACTTGCCCCGCTCCTGTGCCAGGTAAGTTACGGGCTCACCATAGCCCGTGCTACTTGGAACTTGTTCCGAGTAACTGAATCTATAACAACAACAACAACGGTACTCTCTCTTACTCTCTTTGTCGCCATCCTACAGCTGTCATCTCACTCATTACTTCCTTCACCTGCACCTCGTACCTCTGTCTCCTGAGGGTGTCCTCCTTCACGTCATTCAGCATCCGGAGGTTCTTGTCGGCCCTGGCTAACTTCTCCTCCATGTTGATCTTCATGGCCTCCAGTAGTGCCTCGCCCCGAGCCTCCACCTGCTTCCTCCTCTCCTGCTGCTGCTCCACCTCCGCCCAGTTGCTCTCCTCCACACGCTGCCACACGCCGGCCCCGCCCATTGTTGACATTATGTTATATTAATTACATTCCATTTTGTTATATTAATGTCAAGAGACAGTTTTAATCAGTCAATATGATATATTCAGAGTCATTTCTCTAGTTCAGTTCATTTATTATGCACCCAATACCCGTCCTGTGAGCGGTACTGGAATAGGATGCAGACGTCCTTCAGATTTATGTCAATTTATAATCAGTCGTCCACTAACTTACTAGTCGTCCGTACTAGTACGTTCGACAAGAACTCGACCACTCTATTGAAATTCGCAATTATAGTTCCCATTCCAAAACCCAAAGACCCAGGAAATCCAAGATCCATCTAATTAACAAGCTGTCTGGCCAAAACTGGGGAAAGAATGGTTCTTAAACGAATTGAATGGACAGCCAATCCACTGCACTAAAATATGTTTGCTTACATGACATGTGTGAAAATCACAGAATGCCTTACCTCCCTCCTGGATGAAATTAATGACAAACCGGGAATCCTTTATTTTTATGGACCTAGAAAAAGCCTTCGAGCTAGCCAATGCTCCAGCTACACTGTGCTTGCCTGGTGGATAAGGAAATCACAGGACACGCTTTTGCCTTCGCCAAAGGAAGCCTGCTTAACCAAGAGGTTAAAGTCAAATTCCAAGGAAAAACATCTTCCTCAAAGAAGCTGGAAAATGAGATTCCACAACGAGGAATACTAAGCCCTTCCTCTTCAACTGTCTCACGGAACAATTTATGAGGCTCACGTTACCCAAAGTCAAACTACTTAACTATGCAGACGACTTTGTGGTCATCACCAATGGCAAAGGCGCCAGGAACCATGCACAAAAATGCCTAGATATTATCAGCAGGGAAGCGGAACGCATAGCAGTGAAAATAAACAGCAATAAAACGAAAGTAATAGCCGTTAAATGAGAACTCAAGACATCAGACTCGCAATACAAGGACAAGAAATTGAGTGTGTTGCCTCATTTCAATACCTTGGAGTCATAATAGACAACCAGTTGAAATTCACTCAAGATATTGAATATCTCGGCAACGTTGTAAAACCGGAAACTCAGCTTTGCGATCCTTGACAAGTCCGAGTACTGGTAGACATGGTGCATCTCTACCAGTACTAAAAATGTACTACGTTCAAGCAGTTAGGTCACTCATTGACTATGCTGCTCCTGCTCTTACATCCCTCAGTGATAACCAATGGGAAACACTGGAAGTGTCACAAAATGATGTCCTCAGAACAATGCTGGGAGCACCTATATGGACGCGTCGAGAGAATTTAAGAGTGGAAACCAACCTACCAGCCTTAGAAAACAGGATCAAACAAAAAATAGCCACCATAACAGCAAAACTTGTCGGAACCACCGCCAGACTATCAATAAAAAATAGCATACACAGATCGCTTCACAGAAACCTTCAGTATAGAACAATTAAGTACATGGACGGATAATCTGGTCAAGATTCTAGAGAAAGTAAACTTGAAACGGACCATTAAAAACAAAGGAGAAGATAGACCATATCAACACTTTCGGCAGCCTCCTCCATGGGAAGAATCGAGTCTAAAGATAATCATTGAAGGATTATCTGTTTTAAAATCAGCATGTGACTCGCAGAGCCTCAAGGCAGTCATAACCTACAACGACTCACATCTTCACAGACGGATCAGTTGATCAAGAAAGAGGTTCTGCTGGGGCAGCAGTTTACACTAACAACCATAAAGCTTACTGGAGCATGAATAGTGGATGCTCAACATTGCACAAAACTGACAGGCTGGATAACAAGAACCCTTGAAAAATGAGATGACAGGCAAAGAATGATACTTTTAAAGACCTATAAAACATCTAAATTATTGGGACCGCTTAAATTGTTTAAATTTTTGTGTTCTCTAGAGTGCAGACGATATATATATATATATATATATATATATATATATATATATATATATATATATATATATATATATATATATATATATATATATATATATATATATATATATATTATAATTCACACTTTGGAATTATTAAAGGGACTGGTACCAATTATATTCACGAAATAACTCCACATGAGACCAGGAGGCCTGACAAGAAGTGTAAAATAGCCCCATTGAAAAGCAAAGGTGCAATAGGCGTACGCTGAGAGAATTCTGTAAACATCAAGGGCCCAAGACTTTTCAACACTTCCTCTAAACATAACTAGTCGAGCTCTTACGATTTCAAAATATAACTTGATAAACACCTGCAAAGAATAAGCTGATCAACAAGGCTGTGACTCATGCGTCAGGCTGCAAGCAGCCATGTCTAACAACCTGGTTGACCAGACCACCAACCAAGGAGGCCGGGTCAGAGACCGCGGCAGTGGGGACGTTGATCCTGAGAACCAACGCAAGATAAATGTAAGGTAAACCATACCAGTTGTCTACTGGCCAACCACTCCTCTGTAACGTACGAGAGCGAGTATAAAGTTTTCTCGCTACACCTCCATTTATATATTAATTAAATGATACGTTAAAATATTTTGAACATAAAATGATTCAACGAATTAAGTTCAATTTAAATCTATTTTTTTTAAGTGTCCAGCAAATGGCCTGAACCCCAATCATTTCCTAGGCTATATTAGCCTAGACTAGGAAAGTCTATATAGCTGTTATACCAGATAGCGGGCGTCACCTTTCTGAAGAATTCTTCTCGCTCCCTCCTTCTCTGCTCGACCAGCTGCTGCTGCTGCTCCCACAACTTGATCAGCTGCTGCCTCTTGCGTTCCTCACCCTCTTCCTTCACCTTCAGAGCTGCCTCCTGTACTGACTTTCTGGCTGACTCCAAGGCTCGTCTCTCCTCCAACCGACGCATCTACATACATTATATATATGTATATTTGACAGCTAAATACGTTTCTATAACGCTAGAGACAATAGGATTTATTACCTTACAAAATAATTTATTACAAAATATAGAGAATAAAATTACTCCAACAGAAACTCGCTGCCAATAAGTCTCAACAATATTATTTTTTTGATATAAACAAAATAATTTTGTATATACTTTCAAAGTACCTGCCTCTGTTCAGTTATTCTGATTATGGAGTAAGTTTTTATAACTACACCTACGAATTCATGACACTGACCTTCAGTGGGTTACATAATATCAATATCTCGGAGTGTGGATAGATTCTTAAATGACATTCAATAAGTAAATTCAATATCCGAAGGAGAAAGCACAATTACGACTAAATATAATGAGAGCAATCACAGGGCCTCGTCTAGGAGCAGGGCGAAAAGTGTTAAGAATGTTTTACATACACGCCGTTCGTTCCCTAGTTGATTATGCAGCGCCTGCCCTACTCACTCTTTCTCCTGGTCAGTGGGCAAACGAGGTTATTCAAAATGATGCAATGCGAGTCATAACAGGAGCTCCTAGATGGACTAAAATACTGAACCTAAGACTAGAAACCAAGCTAACGTCGATTGACATAAGGGTAAAAGGGATTGCTGCATGCATGCCGACCAAGATATTGACTAGACCTAGAATCAGTTCACTTAAAGATATAGTCACTGGAGCACTAACTCGGGACAGAAGAGCCTCCAATAGCAGCAGGTGGACCTATTGTGTGATAAACACCATCAATACATTTGATATAACAAACACAATTACCGAGAAGGGTGTCGATAAAATATATGAAGACTTTGTTACACAAGCCCCTTGGGTATCTCTGCCAGCAGACTTTAATATTATGGGTCTTGAAGGAAAAAAGAACCAGACTAATCCTCATCTGCTACGTAATATTGCATAGATGCATATAGAAACAAACTTAGCATCTGACAGCTTCACATATTTCACAGATGGATCAGTAGACCAGTAGGGACAAGAAACCGGAGCTGCAGATAAAGCAGGAAACTTTGTAAATAGTTGGAGACTCAAATGGATGTTTGACTTTACAAACAGAGATGCTAGCCATTCAAAAAGCTTTGGAACATGCTCTTTCTGCATGCCGACAACATGTTATCATTCATATAGATTCGAGAACTGCCACTGAAACCTTGCAAGAAGAACACATATGTGATAACATTCATCTGATCACAAATGTAATATCATTAATGCAAACACTCAAACGACAAGGCCGACGGGTACTTATCAACTGGGTGCCAAGTCATGTGGGAATAATAGGAAATGACATTGCAGACGAAGCTGCAAAACTTGCAACTAAGAGAAGAAATGTAGACATTTACATGTGATAGACTCTGTGATAGACCACAGAGTCTATCACAGATTAAGAAAGTAATTAGAAAACGAGTAATGCGAAAGATATACATTGACCACAACACAGCAGTTGCAACGTCAAGATCTGCGGGTTGGTACAAGAATTCAACCAACTACGAACCACTTAGTGTGATGAAAGGGAACAGTAGAGCAACAGAAGTACACTTACATTGCATCAGGCTTGGATACCCATGTGCATGGGAAATAGGCTTACAGGTTCCGGAAGATGAGAGGAAATGTCAGCACTGTGGAAATGCCCGACAGACCACTGGAACATTATCTAACACAGTGGAAAGTTACAAACTCATTAAGATTTCAACTTAGATTCAACAGAGCAGAAGAAGTTGTTAAACACATGGGACAAAATCTTACTGAAGCGACCATATTTATGAAGCGAGTCATAAATACTTATACTCCGCCCAAGTAAAATAAAAACAAATCACTTAGTGGGCCAGTCAGAGGCTTAGGGCCCGTGCAGGAATATCCCTGCAAACAAAAAAACTCCCACAAAATAAAGAATAACTGATAACTCTGCAGTACTGCAAACTATTTTCTGTAGTCGTTAACAATGAAATACTCTCATTAACCTGATGCTTTCAATTAAAACTCAAAATACTGTATGAAAACAAACATAATAACAAAACTAAATTACAACAAAAAAATTGGAAAGGGCCCCCTCTCCCACCCCTCTAAATTGCTGTCTACAGCCAGGGAAGCCAGGTAAGTCTTCATCATGGTAATACACTTGACCAAACTCACCACGAACGACTGGTGAGTCGTTCTTATTACCTTAGATAATTATCTTAGATAATAATACCTGTTCAGCATAAAATTGACATATATATGAACACTACTTGTAGGAAAGCGGTGGAATTTCTGGAAGGGAGAAAAACATACGAGCAGCACGTTACGGCACGTGCTGCGCGCGCAACAAGGGGAATATATTTAAACGCGTGCAGGAGAGGTCACGACCTTTCCCCAAAACACTGGAGACATCTCCCGTCACGCAGGGTGCAGTCGCACCACCACAGATCTCCAGTATCATCTATTGATACTGGTAATGGCTCTGCTGGGGTAGCAGTTTACACTAACAACCATAAAGCTTTCTGGAGCATGAATAGTGGATGCTCAACATTGCAGAAAACTGACAGGCTGGATAACAAGAACCCTTGAAAAATGGAGAGCCACCACTTACGGGCTATTCATGCCCGTGCCACCTTTTGGGTGACAATTTTTATCAGTTAATCAATCAGGTCACCACCTCTATTCACCCGCAGCCACCGCCGCTTCAGGAATTAAACCCTGGACCATTCGGTTAGGGGAACGACTGTAATGACCACTGCGCTACAGGATACCTTTAAGTGTACTGTCTTTCCAACTATTTTTCTTATTTCATCGTTTAAAATGTTGTTTAGGGTGTTAGGATTAGGCTGATACGAGGAGGTACGCAACGTCATCATCAAATAGGATCTATCTTGAGGTTATCTTGAGATGATTTCGGGGCTTTAGTGTCCCCGCGGCCCGGTCTTCGACCAGGCCTCCACCCCGAGGAAGCAGCCCGTGACAGCTGACTAACTCCCAGGTACCTATTTACTGCTAGGTAACAGGGGCATCAGGATGAAAGAAACTCTACCCATCGTTTCTCGCCGGCGCCCGGAATCGAACCCGGGACCACAAGATCACGCGCCTAGTGTTCTGTCCGCTCAGCCACCGACTCCCTAACTTTAGGGATTGCTTTAGGGTTTGGGAGGCGTTGGTCCGGGATTCCATTGCACAATAAAGTCACAATCGACTTGATAACGGCCAAGAACGGACCGAAACGTCGTCGTCTCCTCATTTTCTGGTGTGTGGTTTAGTATTCATATCTTCAGCCACGTTATTGTGACTCATCACAATTAGTATATCCGAGACAATCTTTTGGATCTCGTTGTTGTTGTTTTAGATTCAGCTACTCGGAACAAAAGTTCCAAGTAGCACGGGCTATGGTGAGCCCGTAGTGGACTTCTATGCATTTGGATCAACGCGATGGAATTGAGCTCGCGTCTTGGGTCACTCTAGACAGTGGTTACTAAACTCTTTATGTTCATTACCCCGTTTTCTTAGTGTCCTTATTAATGGCCCCTTACATTTATTAAAAGGCCCTCTCTGGTATCTTATCATAATCTGTACACTGCCTCAGCTACACATTGCAAAATAGCCCCCCAGGGGAGCAATGGCTCCCAGTTTGGGAATCAGTGTTCTAGACGCAGGTATCTAAGCATCTAGTCCCACTATAGACCGTGATCAACTTAAAAGCAACACAACTTTATGTAAGGGAATTACTCTGCATATTTTTAAAAGGATCAGTTATAGTTTGATTTTTGAGTGATTTGTTAAAAAGAGTACGGCTACAGCCGGCTCTAGAACAGATGAACAGTCCCCGTGGTGAAGTGGCGACACACTCGCCTGCCATTTCGCGAGCGCTTTCTCCTGGGTTCGTATCCTGGCCGGGGAGGATATACTGGGCGCCAATCCTTAACTGTAGCCTCTGTTTACCCACCATTAAAATGGGTACCTGGTTGTTAAACGATTTGGCGGATCGTATTCCGGGGAAAATTAGGATTAAGGACCTGCCCGAAACGCCACCCGTGCTAGTGGCTGTACAAGAATGTAAGAACTCTTGTAGTAGGCATCCATCAGTCTCAGGAGACTATGGAGTTGCGCTCTGGTTGTTGGTCTGGAGTGGCCTCACCAGGGCGCAAAGCCAGGGTAGGTTGATGTGGGGGAGAAGCTGTTACCCAGGCAGCAGGGCCCCGCTCTCCACGGCGCTGAAAGTCTCCAATGGAAAGGCATACGACAATACGATTGGTTCCAGCGCCGTCGCAGGAACTGTAAGAACTTTTGTATAAATAAATAAATAAACAAAATAAATGAAGTTAAACTGGTGTGTTTGGCATATGGCGCCGCTGTGTTTACCCTGGCCTGGTACTGTTCGCTGAGGAACTCTTTGGCGCGGCGCTCCTTGCTCGAGATGAGTTGAGACAGGTTCTCCTGGCTCTGCAAATACACCTCTTCCGTCCGTCGCCACCGACGAAGGTTCTCTTCGTTCTCCTGGCGGCGCTTCTCGTTCACCTGCGACCGCCACTCAGACCACTGTGCTGTAGCTTCCTGTCAACACACGTGTACATTTGTGGTGTAATACTCCCGCTTAACGAATCACGAACTGCATTATCATTTGTGTATCAGCAAATATATTCAGGAGTCTTGTGGTAAATTATTATTATTATTATTATTATTATTATTATTATTATTATTATTATTATTATTATTATTATTATTATTATTATTATTATTATTATTATTGTTGTTGCCCAACGAAATCGCATTAATAATACTAATAATAATGTATTTAGACAAAAGCACATACATACATAGGCTACAAGAACAGTGTAGGAGTCGTGGGTAAGACAAGTACAATACTTTAAGCAATAAACACGCAGAGCGTTGCGGCCATAATGTGGACAAAAATTGGTGAACAATATAGAAGCTCAATTGGTTAACTTAAAACTAAATAAGATCAGAAACATTACTGAATTGAAGTAGAGAAATATAAACAGTTATTACTTGATGATTTAAACAGATTCGAATCCTCCTGATGGCTCCAACTGATTTCTCATTATTATTATTATTATGAATGATTAATATAATTCTTATATTATTTTTGTATTATTAATATACGTGTCATTCATTATAATTGTTTCGTATTAATTAAATAATCCCTTGTTCAATTGGTATACTGACAGAGCTTGTAAACTGAGGCTCTCATCTGATAGTTCCACAGTCATACACCAGTCAGTCCACTTGTTGTTGTTGTTAAAGACTTGCTACCTGGAACAAAAAGTCCCAAGCAACACGGGTGGGCGCATCCGATCCCATGATCGTCGTCGCCCCTAAATCAACACAACAACAAGCAACACGGGCTATGGTGAGCCCATCTTAGTCAGTCCACCGTACCACGAAGACCACACGCACATGAGTCGGGAAATAATCAACATAAAAAACAATATTCCAGAGGGTCAGTTCATTGTAAATAAATCTTCATTCATCCCCTGAAAAAAAAGAATAGCTCAGAAGGAAAAGTGGAGTGTATATAGAGGTTGGAAAAGCTGGAGGAGGAGGTACCTGCTGGTCCTTCTCCTTCTGCAGAAGCCAGGCTCGGTGGGCCATGTGTGAGCGTTGCTCCTCGGCGTACAGCTTCTCGTGCTTCATGGCCAACAGCTCCAGGATACGCAGGTCCCTGGCCGGCACCTCTGTGTTCTCAAGGCTGCGTCACAACCACAACCCCAGTTATAAACCTGCACTATAACTCTCTTATAGCATCTGCAACCAGGGCCCGGATTATGCAATAGGATTAGGGGGCCCAACAGCACCAGGGGGGCCTAGTTACTAGCACTAGGAGGCACACCAGCACCAGAGGCCCACCAGCACCAGGGGCCCACCAGCACCAGGGGCCCACCAGCACCAGGGGCCCACCAGCACCAGAGGCCCACCAGCACCAGGAGGTCTACCAGCACCAGGGGGGGGGCCCACCAACACCAGGGGCCCACCAGCACCAGGGGCCCACCAGCACCAGGGGCCCACCAGCACCAGAGGCCCACCAGCACCAGGAGGTCTACCAGCACCAGGGGGGGGGCCACCAACACCAGGGGCCCACCAGCACCAGGGGCCCACCAGCACCAGGGGCCCACCAGCACCAGGAGGTCTACCAGCACCAGGGGGGGGGCCCACCAGCACCAGGGGCCCACCAACACCAGGGGCCCACCAGCACCAGGGGCCCACCAGCACCAGAGGCCCACCAGCACCAGGAGGTCTACCAGCACCAGGGGGGGGCCCACCAACACCAGGGGGGGCCCCACCAACACCAGGGGCCCACCAGCACCAGGGGCCCACCAGCACCAGAGGCCCACCAGCACCAGGAGGTCTACCAGCACCAGGGGCCCACCAGCACCAGGGGCCCACCAGCACCAGAGGCCCACCAACACCAGGGGCCCACCAGCACCGGGGGGGGGCCCACCAGCACCAGGGGGGGCCCCACCAGCACCAGGGGCCCACCAGCACCAGGGGCCCACCAACACCAGGGGCCCACCAGCACAAGGGGGGGGGGGCCCACCAGCACCAGGGGGGGCCCCACCAACACCAGGGGCCCACCAACACCAGAGGCCCACCAACACCAGGGGCCCACCAGCACCAGGGGGGGGCCCACCAGCACCAGGGGGGGCCCCACCAACACCAGGGGCCCACCAGCACCAGGGGCCCACCAGCACCAGAGGCCCACCAGCACCAGGAGGTCTACCAGCACCAGGGGGGCCCGCCAGCACCATAGGCCCGCCAGCACCAGGGGCCCACCAGCACCAGGGGCCCACCAGCACCAGAGGCCCACCAGCACCAGGAGGTCTACCAGCACCAGGGGGGCCCGCCAGCACCATAGGCCCGCCAGCACCATAGGGCCACCAGCACCAGGGGGGCCCACCAGCACCATAGGGCCACCAGCACCATAGGCCCACCAGCACCAGAGGCCCACCAGCACCAGGTCTACCAGCACCAGGGGCCCACCAGCACCAGAGGCCCACCAGCACCAGGAGGTCTACCAGCACCAGGGGGGCCCGCCAGCACCATAGGCCCGCCAGCACCATAGGGCCACCAGCACCAGGGGGGCCCACCAGCACCATAGGGCCACCAGCACCAGGGGCCCACCAGCACCAGAGGCCCACCAGCACCAGGTCTACCAGCACCAGGGGGGGGTGCCCACCAGCTGTCTAAATGTATATGTTCAGCCTTTGAATAACCACAATGGCCAGATAGTGGGGCCCAATTAGCTTTTTTGGCCTAGGCACCCCCCCCCCCCAAAAAAAAAAAAAAAGTTAGATCCGGCCCTGTTTGCAGCCCTTATGTAATCCACACAATACATTATAACCTGAACTAAATCTTTTTATAATCTGCACAAGCTGTTTTAACCAGCGCTAAAATCCTTCCATAACACAATTTCCAAGGACAATGCACGACCTACGAAGATAATGCATGACATAGAAGAAAAATTATAGCCAAGATAATGCTAAAACGTTTTCGAATATGTTCAATACATCCTCAGAAACAGAACACCCGTTAATTTATTGATATAGATTAAGCCACCTAGGACGATGTCAACGCCATCTGTTGCACACACCCGCCCCCATTTTCTGTTCCCCTGTTGATGGATCTTACAGACACCTCTGTAGTTTCCTTCTAATTATACAATGTTTTCTCAGAAGTGTTTACTAGAGTACCTTTGTTGAAAGGAGGCAGGGCAGTCCTGAGGGGCCAGATTCATGAAAGCACTTACGAACCTGTACATCTTTTCTCAATCTTTGGCGGCTTTGTTTACAATTATTGAACAGTTAATGAGCTCCGAAGCACCAGGCGGCTGTTTATAACAATAACAACAGTTGAATGGGAAGTTTTCATGTTTGTAAACTGCTTAATAAATGTAACCAAAGCCGTCAAAGATTGAGGAAAAATGTACACGTTCGTAAGTACTTGCGTAAGTGCTTTCGTGAATCTGGCCCCTGAACTGTAGACTTGTTTCAGTGGGATCAAGTGGGCCGAATCGGTGGAGACTGATGTGTCTGTGATAACCAGTGAAGTATTGGTGATTGGACTGACATATCCCGGGATGGCCCAGTTGAGTTACTAGATGGAATTAACGACCGTCTGTCCTAAGGCCTGTTATAGGTAAAGCCTTTAGGGAAAGCCAGCCAGCGTGTTGCTGGAGAGTAGATGTGGTGTTTTGACACTGTGACGATACTGTGGAGGACTGACCCATGGCTTACTGAGAAAGGTGGACCGCTGGCGTGAGTACCATAGACGAAACTCAGGTAAGGTACCGTGAGTGTTGCACGATAAAAGACAGAAGTGGACGCGCCGGGATAGAAGATTGCAAAAGTTCTTTTCTTTAGTGATCTGTGTGAAAACCTGCATTGTTTTGTATATATTTAACAAGTGTATATAGTTAAGAAGTACACGTGGTGATGGTTTTGTTTAGTGTTGTTTACCCCCGGTCACGTTGGATTGACTATTACTGCCGGTTCTTAATAACTTGTCCATGACACAGGGTTGGATCTGGTAAGAAGAGGCACTATAAGGCCCCATAAAAAGTTTGAATGAAAAGAACCCGGTTACTGGCTAAGTGAGACCGTAATACCACCAAAGAGGTGACACGGGCATGAATAGCCCGTAAAAGAACACAGTTAACAAGGCATATATGAGGGAAGGCGGTGAGGGGGGGGGTTTACTCACCCATCCATGAACTTGGCCAGGATCTGTGAGTCAGCCAGAGACACAGTGCTGAGCGAACGGTGCTGGGGCAGGAGGCGCGGGCTCCAGGCGCCCCCACTACCACGGTAACTGACTCCTGATGTGGACGACCCTGGACGCCGAAGGGACTGTGCTCTACAAGTGAAGGTGTAAACATCAAACAAAAAGATTACAATTAACAAAGGGTAGAATTAGTGAAGTATTTGGAAGTAGAATTACAAAACAAAGTTATTTTGCAATTATTTTACTCACACGTAAGAGGACGGTAGCCACCTTATAGTGCCATGTACATACAGTGTGAGGTTTTGTGGCAGAAACCTTATCAAAGTGTTATAAAGTCAAATGTCTTAACAAAAATACACCCTAGAATCACTACTGGAAACCCATCCTTGCAATTGGCCGTCCTCTGTCCCAAGCGGAATAAGTAATTATCATAAGGCGGCACCAAGCGGGGGGGGGGGGGAAGGGGAGACGGTGTAGCTCACAAGTGGACTGCCAACATATATGTAAACATGGCCAGTGTTTTGAGATATATACAAGAGTTCTTACATTCTTGTTTGTAGCAAGTGATGAGCTCCTCGGGGCTCCCTCGGGAAGCTCATGATGTATTCAAAGATAAACTACATCTCGGTGTAGGATTTATTAGTAAGTGTGGTAAGACACTCGCCTGGCGTTCCGCGAGCGCTATGTCATGGGTTCGTATCCTGGCCGGGGAGGATTTACTGGGTGCAATTCCTTAACTGTAGCCTCTGTTTAACGCAACAGTAAAATGTGTACTTGGATGAAAAAACGATTCTTCGCGGCAGGGATCGTATTCCAGGGACCATAGGATTAAGGACTTGCCCGAAACGCTACGCGTACTAGTGGCTGTACAAGAATGTAACAACTCTTGTATATATCTCAAAAAAAAAAATTAGTAACCCGGTGCAATCAACCGGACAATTATTCTAGAATATGACAGCTGTAGTAGCAAAATCAATTTTAATAAATCTACAGTAGTGACCAAAGCGAATTATAAATTGTTGAAACTATAGCAAAAGATTTGGTATATATCTGCAGCTAAACCAACCTAAAAATAAGAACGGACCTACACTTGTACCTAAAGAGTATTTGCTAATTATAAAATTGTTGGCACGTTGACGTAATTTAAAATGTCAAAATAGATTGAGAATTGTTTTGATATCACATTTAGTATTTTTCTTTATTTACCCTTGTTGACATTGTATTTACACAAACACTTCAATCACCTTCAGTGGTTGAGCGCTCAATAACTCGCTGCACAATATGTAGGACCACGGAGCTCTAGCACTACGTAGTACAGATGATAAAGTATGTATGCTGGTTAGCATGTAAAAGCACTACGCTTACCTTCTGTGGCTGAGTGCTCAATAGCTCACTACATTGTGTGATGTCTAACAGAATCCTAACCCTGTCTATGAAGGACAGAATAAATTGTATATATGCTGGTTACCATTGTAAATGAACCATTGTAAATGAATGGCCACGTCCGTGATAGAGAATACACTAAAAAAAATACTTTATTTCCATTTTCTATATGATGAAAAAATTTATATAAATTTGGGGGATAATTACTAGTTAAAATTTCAAAGACGGCAATTAACACAAAAATAAATTATTCTGAAACCCAATATATTTAAGGTAGAGTACTGTAGTAACTATATTAGAAATAATGTAGCAGCAACTTCATTTAAACGTTCCAAGAATGCCACTTACCACAATATTGAGCAGCTGAATGGTTAAAAAGGTATGGCTACATGGAGAGGCTTACCTGGCGAGTCCTGAGGAAGGCCTGGAGACCCTGTATGGGGTGCAGTAGGAGGCCAGGCATGAAGCAGCACTCTGGGGCCTAGGCAGCTCTAGGCTGCTCGGGCCCACACACAGGCCCAGACCCGACCCGTCACCACGTGCCCCGGCTGTAAACAGCCTCTTGTGTTAGTCATTGAAATTGAAATAAGTTTATTGAGGTAAAATATACGCAAAGGGATAAGGTGTATTTTACCTCAATAAACTGTGTTAGTCATGCACTCGTATTCGGGTGATGCATGGATATCATGCAATTGTAACACTTAATTATAATGATACACTATGTGCCAAGGGCCTGCAGTGTATATGTAGTGTCAGAAAGGATCATTTTATTACTTAAATAATGAATTTATTGTAAAATATTATGTAATACGTACCATTATCTGTATCAAGGCAAGTGTTATTTAAATTGAATGAATGGCATTTTGTATTATTTGCCATTTATTTAAAAAAAAGTTTAAGTGAATAAGTGAAAGTTTAACGTTTTGAGCTAAGGATACCGTTATTTATATCTCTGGGAAATTGCATTACCTTTTTTTTTTTTTTTTTTTTTTAGATGTGTCACATTCTTGTAGAGCCACTAGTACGCGTAGCGTTTCGGGCAAGTCCTTAACCCTATGGTCCCTGGAATACGATCCCCGCCGCGAAGAATCGTTGTTACAACCAAGTACCCATTTTACTGTTGAGTTAAACAGAGGCTACAGTTAAGGAATTGCGCCCAGTAAATCCTCCCCGGCCAGGATACGAACCCATGACAAAGCGCTCGCGGAACGCCAGGCGAGTGTCTTACCACTATACCACGGAAACTTTTGATGTAAATCTGACCAAATGTATACTGTCAGACCTTATAGTTGAACAACAAAAGACAATATTAAGAGACAATTTAAAATAGTTAAGAAACACAGACCATTTCATGATGATCACTTCTCCTGAACGCTAAAGATCAGGAGACGTGATCAAGATGGTAGATGGAGGAGATTTATAGTCCTCCACTCTGCCAGGCAGAACTAACCCCACATGAGGGCCACTGACACTAGTGGCCTCGACGAGTACAGGAAGTCGGCGGCTTGTCGCCCATATATCTTGGGCGACAAGCAGGCACAAAACCAGAGTGTACGGAGTAGTAATGTGCAGGATGCAGGAGCCATATTTCTTCCCTCTAGGAACAACGTCAGGGAGTTTAGATGGCTTCTACATAAATGCCGGAAACTTGGTAAATTTAATTTGATGCATTGTGTGAATATATGGAGGCTGAAAATCCCGACGTCATTGGCATCAGCGAAACGTGGGGACGAGAGGATATAATTGAGGGAAATTCCAACTTCCAGGATATCATTCACTTCAGAAACGACATAACAAGAGCAGGTGGTGTAATGCTATATATCAAAGAGGACCCAAATGTAACCAACAATGAGGAAGTGAACACCATGGGATCCTCAGTGTGTAAAGTGCGACATCCTAGCTCAAGATGGTAACAAACTGACTGTGGGAGTATGTTACAGGGGCAGACACAGCAGCGGCAGAGAAAGTTACTGATCTACATTATGTGATCAGTGCTGCATTAGAACTACAAACCTTTATAACGGGATTATCCACGGGACTATTGATTGGGTAAATCTAACATCACAAGAAGGAGAACAATTTCTAGACCTGGTACAGGATTCCTTTCTCGTAGAGCATGTGGCAGAGCCCACTAGAGGGCTCTAGAGGGCACTAGAGGTAACAGCATTCTACATCAGAAGATGACATTATCGATCAAAATAAAGTAAGACAAAGCTCACCCTTTCCTGTGATCGCAATATTCTAAGACGAATTACAATTCTAGAAACCCATGTAAAGATCCAGGATGATGACTTTCTAGACTACCCTCGAGGACACTATCAAGGCATGAGAGACGAATTGCAAAAAAATAACTACCTGGAGGGAGCTAATAGGTCACATAGAGGAGAATATTACAAACTACATCGTCACATTTGCAGATGCAGATCTATAGTAAAGTGGGAAGTGAAAGTGTATATTGAGGCTTTACAAAGAGAGAGAGATACATGAACTCTACAAGTGGTCAGAAGACTGGCAAATGCTTTTTAATATCGATAAATGAAAGACTTTGCATGTGGGGCATAGCAACCCCCGCCACATGGATGGTTCATGATGCCCACATGGATGGTTCATGATGCCCACAAGGATGGTTCATGATGCCCACAAGGATGGCTCATGATGCCCACATGGATGGTTCATGATGCCCACAAGGATGGTTCATGATGCCCACAAGGATGGTTCATGATGCCCACAAGGATGGGTCAAGATCCCCACAAAGTAGTGAAATATGAGACTATGACCGTCCCAAACCCGAGGAGATCCTCGGGTATCGAGCTCGGACATAGTCAAAAAGTGTGTGTAAGGTCCGTAGATTGGGACGGGCGTTGTCGCGGGGGTAAAAATGTAGTCAAAAGTGTGTGTAAGGTCCGTAGATTGGGACGGGTGTTGTCATAGATGTAAACATTGTTTCCCTCATTCAGTAAACGCTTACTTTCTGACTTTGACTGAGTTTACTGACTCAATTTACTTGATTTAATTTATTATAAGAAATTGAAGACTGGTATACGATGAGGATGACGTGGCGACTAGCTTAAGACGGACGATACTCTTAAGTTTTTAATAAAGAATAAAATATTATATATAAAGACTTTACGCCTTTAACTACTTATTGCTGTTCTGTATACTGAGAAATGCGTGTATAAACAGAATGAAGGTGCACACCTTTCCTTATTCTACAAAGTTACAAATGCGTGCACTCTTAAGTGGATGGTGGTGGTGGTGGGAGAGAGCAAGAAGGGGGGGGGGGATGGTGGGTGGCGACGGGTAATGGTGTCATTATACGGTCACACCACTCATGTATCCACTGCCTCGCCACCCGTCAAAACGGTCACACCGCACTTGCCTGCTCTCCTACCATGTGGTCCCTATGCGCCTCATGACCTATGCGATGGTATGAGCTATGTGCTCCCCCTAGACCCCTCTGATGACTTTAAAACGATTAAGGTAGAAGGGGCGGCATCCGGAGTGTGATTCAATCCGGTAGACCGTCCCAAACGCTTGCTCTCCCACACCCGTGTGCTATGTGGTGGTGGTGGTGGTGGCACACTTCATGCCTATGTAGTTTATCACAGACCATGTGGTGCCTATGCGGTACTCAATAGAGGAGAGGCTGGAGAGGGCGGGGAGGAGGGGAATGGTGCTCCCTCACTGTGTTTACAAAATGCCGCGCCCATCGTTCACGGCTCATTACTGGTTGAGATGAATCACTGCGAACAAGCATTACTTGAGGGTCTCTGTATGACATGAATTAATGACACCTGCTGGACTCCTGCTGTGAGACACAACCTACCCTCGCCTGTTACGACTCGGCTCACCGGCGGTGTTATTGGTGAGATATACAACGTTTTTCGTAATACGCCCACACACATCTCTCAACAATCACAGTCCTTGTCTTTAAACACCCCAGTGACGGTGCCGGTCAAAAGGACTTCTGTGTCGCCTCCCTCACCGAGTGCCGTGTGCCAAACCAACCACTTCACGTCTCATTGCCAAAACCGTTTATCTTATCACTCTTCAAGACCTGGGGTTCTCATGTGTGGGGGCCGGACCTCTCCCCACCCAACATAGCCAATCTCCTTCCCTACATACTATGTTTATTATTATTATCAACTATTAATCTATATGTGTATTTAACTCTTCGATCGCTACACGTACTTATTCATCTTACACACCTGTTCCTACACACCTGTTCCCTTAGTCCTTCTCTTACCCTTACACTCATTTTACACCCGCGACAACACCCGTCCCAATCTACGGACCTCACACACATTTTTTGACTACATTTTTACCCGGCTCATGATGCCCACAAGGATGGGTCATGATGCCCACATGAACGGCTCATGCTGCCCACAAGGATGGCTCATGCTGCCCACAAGGATGGCTCATGCTGCCCACAAGGATGGCTCATGCTGCCCACAAGGATGGCTCATGCTGCCCACAAGGATGGCTCATGCTGCCCACAAGGATGGCTCATGCTGCCCACAAGGATGACGATCTGGCTGGCACTGGGTATTTATTTATTTATTTATTTATATATATATACAAGAAGGTACATTGGGATTGTGAGGATACATAGCATAGTAACAACATTCTTGTAAAGCCACAAGTACGCGCAGCGTTTCGGGCAGGAAAATGATGTACAACCCAATTTAAAATTATATATAACAATCAATATCCTCCAATCCACAGTGATCACCTGGCAAGGCCGAGAGCGGTCATTATATTGCATTATACTCACCAATTTCATCCAAACTGCCTGTATACGAGAGCTTGGCCACAGGCGAGGTGGTGGCGGCGGGCCGGGCGCTGGACACCCTCCTGTGTGTGGGAAGGCGGCGTCTCACCGGTGTCCTGGGTGCTGATGTGGGCGTGTGTGAAGGCGTGGGCGTGCGCCGGCGCTGGAGGCGAGGTGTGGAGGCAGGTGTGAGGGTGGTAGTGTCACTACGAGGGCTCCAGGTCCCGCCCCCACCGCCCACCACACTCACAGACGGCAGCCGCGGCTCTAACCTGTCACGGAGTCTTATATGTTGAGTCTTTTGAGAGAATATATTAAAGCACTGTTGTGGTAGGGGAGGTTTATTCTGGCTAAAATGTTGTGGTACACTACAGTATAGAGTTGTATAAAACAGTATGTTGTACATACGCTTTTATCTTTTCTTATCACATCATGGAAATGAAGTCATTGTATCATCGCGTATAGGCCTACTCTATGTGACCGACAGAAGGAGCATAATTTATTGTAAAGTTTCCTCATATGCTCAGTAGTGAAAAATGATAAAGCGGAAACGTCATTTTAAAGTGGTACACAACAAGTGTATTCTGCGCTGCCTTACCTGTATGCTGAGGGCGGCCTTTTGCTGGGACTCTCCCTCAGGAACCCGATGGCCCCGTCATCCTCGTCGGCGTCCTCTCTGTCGCACTCGGCGGCGGAGTTGGTGGAGCGAACGCCATCATCGCTCTCCTCGCCTTGGGAGATGGTGATGGGCTGGCGATCATCAGCGAGATCGCTCACGGAGGAGCCAAGGGAGGTCGTGGAATCTGAGTTCCTCCTGCGGACATGTAACCCATTGAAAGGGAAGACGTCGCTGGGGGTCCTGGGGCGCCTCAGCCGGCGAGAGGAGCCAGGAGGAGGGAAGGGAGATTGTGGCCAGGGGTTGCTGGCTCCTACCGAATATTGCCGTGAAAGAATGTATCCCAGAATTCCTATAAATTCCTAAACATTGTCTGGTGTTATATAGCCTTCCCGGTTTGGTGCCTTCCTTTGGATAATTACTTTCTTCCTAAACATTGTCCTGTTGGGCACACACACACACACAAATAACTGTATTGCATATATATACAAATATACTCCAGAACTCCATAGAGTACAACAAATATTCTCCATAACTGTAAAGTCGATTCCCAATTCATCACGTTTTCTTTCGTAAATCTTGAACATAATGCGCATAGTAGATCGACATAGCAAAACTGTGATGTTATATTCAAAAATGAATATAACATCAATGTTGAATGTCAGATGATATGGTTGAATAATGATACCCATATGAGCAAATATATAATTGATTAACTTACTTGTTTAATTGTTTGTAATTTCTGATGCCTAGATCTTGGATTTTGAAAGCTAGAGTGGAGAGTACTCTTTAATTAATTAATTGTAATTTATTGTGTTTAATTACAAATGTATTAGAGAAACCCTGCTTCCCCCGATCAAAAAATTATATATATATACATATATGTATATTACATATTATACACAGAAATAATCACTGAATTTCCAAATGAATAAATTAAACATACACGAATGAAAATAGGTGCAAGTGTTGCCAGCAGGAGATGAGGAGAGCCGGACCGAGACTGACTGACCTTGACCTGTGATAACGAGGTGGTGGTGATGCCCAGGTGATTCTAGGTCGGTGAGGTGACGGGGGATGAGGAGCTAGACCATGTTGACGACCTGTGTTGCTGCTGCTGCTCCCTGGCCACGTCCCACAACCCTGCAACATCAGTGCACTCACCACACATTGTTCTTATGGAAGCAAACTCTATTCATACTTTTAAAATTAGGTATGCCAGGGAAATGGGACAGGAGTTATTCCTGTAAACAACCGATGGCTGGAAAGGCGGGATCCAAGAGCCAATGTTCGATCCTGCAAGCACAAATAGGTGAGTACACAAATGCTCAAGTGAAACAATCACTCGATTGTTTCAAACGCGGGTTGGACATGTATATGAGTGGGATTGGGTGGTTATAAATAGGAGCTGCCTCGTATGGGCCAATAGGCCGTCTGCAGTTACCTTTGTTCTTATGTTCTTAAGTGTGAACAATCCAAGAAGTGGCAAACGCTGGAGATAGAGGAGCCTAAGATTATATGTACCTTGGCGTATACAGGTAGGGGCTATACAAGATGTGGAAGACACGCGAGGAAGTACAAGATCTGGGGGTAACTCTTAACAAACTGTCACAGCAACACACTACACCGGAAATTGTATCGTGTTCCTGTACTACCATATATACGTGGTCATATCCTGTATGACCACATGTGATCATTTAATTAATACATTCACAGTCTTCTATAAGTTTCCACTATACCCCTTCACCTGTATGTGGCTTCCTTTAACCCTATTATTTTATTATTAAATATTATTAACATAAACGTAGTATTTAATAGTGTATTATTACAATTGCCACGGTAATTGAAAGTATTAATTGTATTAATAAAGTACGTTGTTATAAAAGGTGAGAGTAGGCTTACCGTAGGGAGGCGTGCAGTGGTGGAGGCGGCCTCAGCAGGTCTCCCTGGGGTCCGCTCTGGGGTCCGCCCTGGGGTCCGCTCTGGGGTCCGCCCTGGGGTCTGGGGTCCGCCCTGGGGTCCCCTGGGGTCCGCTCTGGGGTCCGCCCTGGGGTCCGCCCTGGGGTCCGCCCTGGGGGTATAACGATGCACATATATATTCATATATGTGCAGCGTTATACCCATATATACCCCAGTGTTAATAGTTGTTGTCATAAACATAATGAACATTACAATAGTGTGAGTTAAAAATAACACCCCTTTATTATCAGCAAGCAACTGAACAAATAACTACACATGTTAAACTGGAAAACCCGACCTTTGAACGCGGGGAGCGTGGTGTGGGAGAGGGGAGCCCGAGGCTGCTGCTGCTTGTGTTGAGGCGCGGCCACAGTCGCTGAAGACGGCCTGGCTAATTTCCCTGTGGTGGTCTTGCTGCTGCCAGCCACCGACGCTCGGTACGGCTCCCCTGGGACTCGAGTAAATGCAGGAGAACTCTTTGTATCAACACGTTGTTGTTGGGTGGCGCGTTTTGGAGCATGGGTGAGGCCTGACCGATATAGATCTCCTTGTTTGACGCGCTGAGCGCTGGACGGCCTCGGAACACCCGTTTTGGGTTTCCTGGTGACGCTGGGAGCAGAGACCTTGTGATCCCTTGTGCTGGGCGTAGAGGTGTGGTGGCCGGTGGTCCTGACAGTGTAAGTTCTGTGGCCAGAAACGCCGGGTGTGGTCACGAACTGGCACTCGGTCTCGACTGCCTCAGTCACTGCTCCTAATGTGGTCTCAGAGTCACCGCTCAACTCAGCCGTCTCATTCTCTTTGTGGTTGATCTTGTCATCTTGTTCTTCATCATCACCCGCGTGTTCATCGTCTTTATTCTTCAATGTTTTATACTCATCTTTCTCTTCCTCCTCGGCACCACGTCTGTTTCCTGCTCCGGTTACGCCGTCCTCCGCCTCCCAGCCACCAGTTGACGCTAGTCATTGTGGATAATGATGACACAATAACAATCATGAATATGTATATTTTGTTATTTTGTAGACAAATTTATCAGAATTTAACTGAATTTACATGAAGTTTAAATTTACATTTACTATCTCTCTAGTGGCTTCGTCTAGGACAGGAAACCGGCATCATGCCAGAGGTCCCCCGTTTATCCTAATGATTTTATCGAGCTGTATTTAAAATTTATCTGTGTGACCCCTCATCTTAAGTTTGCCAACTCCATGTGTCCCCTCGTCCTGGTCCCACCCCTTGTGTCCCCTCGTCCTGGTCCGACTCCTTGTGTCCCCTCGTCCTGGTCCCACCCCTTGTGTCCCCTCGTCCTGGTCCCACCCCTTGTGTCCCCTCGTCCTGGTCCCACCCCTTGTGTCCTTTCGTCCTGGTCCCACCCCTTGTGTCCCCTCGTCCTGGTCCCACCCCTTGTGTCCCCTCGTCCTGGTCCCTCCCATTGTGTCCCCTCGTCCTGGTCCCTCCCATTGTGTCCCCTCCCCTGGTCCCTCCCATTGTGTCCCCTCGTCCTGGTCCCACCCCTTGTGTCCCCTCGTCCTGGTCCCACCCCTTGTGTCCCCTCGTCCTGGGTCGGTGCTAGCTCCCATTATGCTCCTAAATGTTGATGATGCAAAAATAAGGAGAAAATTAAACTTAATGCACTTTAGATATGGTTTTGGAAAGAACTATTGTACTTTAAATCAGGCACAAGTAAAGTTATGAGGGCAGGAGCAGATATGAGAGCATGTGTACAGATAAAAGGAGAATACATTAATATACATAATAAAAGATCTGGAAGAAGATATAACTGTAAATCTAATACAAGAGGACACACACACATTAATGACATTATGTAAAAAACATACTTCAAACACCGCTTATGTTGGACAGACGTACGTATATCTGTGTATTTATGATTAGCATTTTATAAGCACTACAATCACCTTATATGGTTGATTGTTAAATAAATCACTGAACTATATGTTTAACAGATATCTAACCCTGTCCATAGAGGACAGAAGAAAATGTATATATGCTGATTAACATTGTAGATGTGTGGCCGCGTCTGTGGTACAAAAAAAAGTACAAGAATAATGTTGGCAGAATATATTAAGTTGCCTAACGTCTGAATAACGTTCAGGAACTGTGATAAAGCAGCTATCCAAGTGCTACACAACCTATGTGAGAAACATTTATTATTACGCAGCACCGGTATGAAATCCAGACATGAAAATGCATGAAATGAAAAGTAGAAATATCGTTTCCCATTGTCCGAAACAAGAAGCCTGCTAGGATTATCGAGGTTCCTAGCCTCTAGCTTAGGTCAGTGACTGAGTTTTCCCCAGGATGCAACCCACAACAGTTGCCTAGCTTCTGCTAGGTGAACAGTTGCATTAGGTGAATGGAAACGAGGCCAAATGTTTGCCTGGTGCACGTGAAGAGAGCCCGGAGCCTTACGGCTGTGATAACACCGAGGTAACTGGACCTTACCACACTGAAGGAGACACAGAAGAAGGCGATGTAATAATAACATACATAATTTCAAGTGCAATAGACAAAGAAACAGTGTTCAAAGTGAGTAATAACAGATCGAGTGATCATTGATGCGACCTACACACAAATGAGTCACAGAGATGTAAACTAATCTTTTAGTGTTAGACGCAAATAAATGGAATGAGTTAGATGCAGAATTGGTTGAAGTTAAAATATAGTTTTAAATTTGACTTGCATTGCACGCACGCACGGACGTCCACATGTGTAAACACACACACACACACACACACACACACACACACACACACACACACACACACACACACACACACACACACACACACACACACACACACACACACACACAAGTTAGGTGAGAAGGTGGTGGAGGCCAAGACCGTCAGTAGTTTCAAAGCGTTATATGACAAAGAGTGCTGGGAAGACGGGACACCACGAGCGTAGCTCTCATCCTGTAACACACACACACACACACACACACACACACACACACACACACACACACACACACACACACACACACACACACACACACACTTAGAGTAACTCAACCCCCGCAAGCACAACTAGGTGAGTACACACACACACACACACACACACACACACACACACACACACACACACACACACACACACACACACACACACACACACACACACATATACAGATATGACAAAATTATTGATATATGTAGAAAAGTAGGTAGGGTCATTACATTAAACAACCGACGGTTAGAAAGGCGGAGCTCAAGACCTAACAGCTCGATCCTACAGGCGCAAAATAGTAAATACACACACACTCAAGTCAAACAAAACACTCACGCTGCCTGGAGATGAGGCTGCGAGCTAAGTTCTCCTGATCCTTGAGGCGCTTGGACACCTTGGACGAGACGGAGGAATATGAGGAGGCATCGCTGTCCTGCCTCACGAGGCTGGGCCCCAAGGACGTGCCTTCCTCCTCCTCCTCCTGGCTCTCCTCCTTCCCTTCCTCTTTCTCTTCCTCTTTATTCCTATCAACCTTCTTGGGTTCCCTCTCCTTTCCATGGCTGGGGCCTGGGGCTGCCGTTTGACCTTGTGGGGTGCAGCTCGCGCCTCGCCCGCCTTCTGCTGTTTGCGTGCAATACAAAATACAAATAAATAAAAACTATCCAAAAATGTCAACACTTATTCTGAATTAATGCTATTCGTTTACAATATTTACAAGACATTTTTTACTCCACTGGAGGAAATCTTCTTGACTTGGTTTTAACAAACAAGGTCGAGGGCGGTGTTCGGCGTCCAGGCTGGAAATATCAAATAATGAGAGTACTTATAGTAACTGTTTGGTCGAGAGTACAAACATGTAGTGATGGACCACCAAAAGATGTACGGTTTTGTATTACCGAATTAGGCCAAATGGCATAGTTTTATAACCACGATGAAACTATAGAAGCTAACCTTGTTATTATATTATTAGCAAGTCAAGTCAACAGCTCTAAAAATCACAAGGAAGTCCTAGGAGAAATGAAAGCAGCACCTTATTACATGACCGGACCCCACACTCACTAAGTGCATCTATACTTATACGCTCCCAATACACGCTCAAAGATTTAATACTATTTGCTGGAAAGGTAAGCACTAAAAATGTACGCTTTTCAGGACTAATGTTCCTCAGCCTTGAATTGAAATTGAAATTGAAATTGAAATAAGTTTATTGAGGTAAAATACACACAAAGGGATGAGGTAGCTCAAGCTATTCTCACCCCGTTCAGTACATCGTGTTAATACATACATATGTTTATTCAGGTAAGGTATATACATACAAGTGATGATACATTAATGGATTGATATATAGATAGAGCTAGTACATACAATGCCTAAAGCCACTATTACGCAATGCGTTTCGGGCAAGAAAAACATTAATATCTAGAACTTAATACTAATTGAGCATAAAGAATAAAAAGTGTTTAGAACAAAAACAAATAAAGATAAAAAAGGGGAACATGACTGAAAAAGCAGCACAAATACAATAGGTTGACAAACAGTGTTGATTAAAAAAAGAAAATAACAGACATGGGTTGACAATAGAGGAGTGAGGTAGGTTACAGGGAATTTATTAGGTAGTGTTTAGTTTTTATCTTAAACTGGTTGAGAGAGGTACAGTCTTTAACATGGTTGGGAAGGTCATTCCACATTCTGGGTCCCTTGATTTGTAGAGCATTTCTAGTTTGATTAAGTCGTACTCTAGGAATATCAAAACTGTATTTATTTCTGGTGTGGTGCTCATGGGTTCTGTTACAACCTTCTATGAAGCTTTTGAGATCAGGATTGGCATTATAGTTTAGCGTTTTATATATGTATAATACACATGAGAGAATGTGCAGTGACTTAATGTCTAACATATTCAGAGATTTGAGTAGGGGTACCGAGTGATGTCTGGGGCCAGAGTTGGATATTGTCCTATCCAGAGTTGGATATTGTCCAATATCCAGAGTTGGATATTGTCCATATACACACATCACAAGCAATAAACGTATTACCGAACATTCTGAGAGATAAACATATACATTTCCTCCTTTACACAAGTAGTATGGTATCAGACGTACACACAAATACTTTTATGACCGAGGTATACTGTATAGACACAGCCTTGAATGATTAAGTTTGTGGCTGCTGGTTCAAGCTCTTGTATGTGATAGAAGCAAAGTTTGGACGCTTAATTGTCTCATCGTCAGAACGTGTTGGGTGACAATGACAAGAAAGAGTTCTTTAGCATTACAGTTACCACCTTGACCCCACTATTGAAGTACTTGAGACCTTACAAACAAAATTACATTAACTCCCTTGAAAAATTGGAGACAATGAGGCAACAATTTCACGCCCCTAAGTGATTATTTCTCACCCAAAAGGTAATAAAAATATATATTGGAACAGTTTACTTGTCAAGGCCAGACCGTACTAAAGATCACAGTGCGGTTACCTGGCGTTGATTCCTCGGGAGTCAAGACACGTGCGTCTTGAAAACATATCAAGAGCAGTAAACCTTGTCCCCGCCACGGCCAGGATCATTTTAACACACATTTTTAAATCACCACTTTTCTATGAAAACTGATGCGGGCCGGAGCTGGAACGTAAATGAGGGAGAGACTCTGATTGATGATTGATGAAGATTAAGCCACCCAAAAGGTGGCACGGGCATGAATAGCTCGTAAGTGGTGGCCCTTTGGAGCCATTACCAGTATCAAGAGCTGATACTGGAGATCTGTGGAGGTGCGACTGCACCCTGCGTGACGGGAGATGTCTCCTGTGGAGAGACTCTTGTTGTTATAGATTCAGCTACTCGGAATAAGTTCCAAGTAGCACGGGCTATGGTGAGCCCGTAACTTACCTGGCTGAGGAGCGGGGCAAGTAGCACGGACTATGGTGTGGAGAGAGACTCCTCGTGCGTTTGTTTAAATACGCAGCCACCCCCCCCCCCCCCCCCACCCTTCCCCAATTCCCCGCGTGTAGCACTCTCGGAGCGCTGCGTAAATGTTTTTCTACTTTCCCAGAAATTCCCCCGCTTTACCAGATAAAGCAGGGGCCATTTCTCTCTCACACACACGCACGTGTATATACATATACACAGTCATACACACACACACGAATGTGGTGGATAGGCTGAGGAGTAAGAGAGTCGGAGCAGCAGCGAGCGCCACCCACCTTGACTACGTGGCCGTCGTTCCTCGTCAACCAGAAGTCGATCCCTCAGCTCCCGGGCCTCACGCACTCGCTCTGGAGGGTGAACAACGGGAAAATAGTTAGTATTGTTCACTACCAGGGAGTAACTCCAGTCGTCTTGATATTGTGCCAAACAAAACACTTGTGCGAGGGAAGTAACAACATCATTGAACTGATGTGAGCAATGGACCTTTCTGGGAAGCCACCTTTCAAATCTCCAGCCAGCTCAGCAGTGTATAATCACCACGAGGGAACGACATTCTATAAAAAGATATAAACAAGTACATATATATTATTGTTAAAAGATTACTCCAAGCCCATTCTGTGACCGGAAACGATAAGATCACACATTAGATCATCACACTTGATACTGTATAAAAATTGAGCCATTTAGAGATAAATCTCAATGTATGTTGCATGAAATGTATATAATGTTATAAATAATATAATAATTTTATTATAATACAATAATTGAATTATAAATATTATAATAATTGTATCATAAATAATATAATATTTGCGTTATAAATAATATGCTAATTGTATTATTATAAATTATATAATATTTGCATTATAAATAATATACTAATTGTATTATTATAAATTATATAATATTTGCATTATAAATAATATACTAATTGTATTATAAATAATATAATATTATTATAAATGATATAATATTTTTATTATAAATAATATAATAATTTTATTATAAATATATTAATTTTATTATAATATAATAATTTTAGTATAAATAATAAAATATCTGAAATTCTTGCACTACATCCATATTACATAAGAACATAAGAACATAAGAACAAAGGTAACTGCAGAAGGCCTATTGGCCCATACGAGGCAGCTCCTATTCTATAACCACCCAATCCCACTCATATACTTGTCCAACCCGCGCTTGAAACAATCGAGGGACCCCACCTCCACCACGTTACGCGGCAATTGGTTCCACAAATCTACAACCCTGTTACTGAACCAGTATTTACCCAAGTCTTTCCTAAATCTAAACTTATCCAATTTATACCCATTGTTTCGTGTTCTGTCCTGTGTTGATACTTTTAATACCCTATTAATATCCCCCTTGTTATGTCCATTCACCCACTTGTAAACCTCTATCATGTCGCCCCTAACTCTTCGCCTTTCCAGTGAATGCAACTTAAGCTTTGTTAATCTTTCTTCATATGAAAGATTTCTAATTTGGGGAATTAACTTAGTCATCCTACGCTGGACACGTTCAAGTGAATTTATATCCATTCTATAATATGGCGACCAAAACTGAACTGCATAATCTAAATGGGGCCTAACTAGAGCAAGATATAGCTTGAGAACCACACCAGGTGTCTTGTTACTAACGCTGCGATTAATAAATCCAAGTGTCCGATTTGCCTTATTACGAACATTTATGCATTGATCCTTTTGTTTTAAATTCTTACTAATCATAACTCCCAGATCCCTTTCGCAATCCGACTTCGCAATCACAACACCATCTAGCTCGTATCTTGTAACTCTATCATCATTACCTAACCTCAGAACTTTACATTTATCAGCATTAAACTGCATCTGCCAATCCTTTGACCATTTCAAAACCCTATCTAGATCAACTTGAAGTGATAGTGAGTCCTCCTCCAAATTAATTTCCCTACCGATTTTCGTATCATCGGCAAATTTGCAAATGTTGCTACTCAAACCTGAATCTAAATCATTTATATATATTATAAACAACAGAGGTCCCAGGACAGAGCCTTGAGGCACTCCACTTACAACATTTTCCCACTCTGACTTGATTCCATTTATACTAACTCTCTGTTTCCTTTGGTATAGCCATGCCCTAATCCAGCTTAATATAGCACCCCCAATACCATGAGACTCTATTTTTTTAATCAGTCTTTCATGTGGCACTGTATCAAAAGCTTTGCTAAAGTCAAGGTATACAACATCGCAATCCTTACCACTATCAACTGCCTCAACAATGCTAGAATAAAAAGATAACAAATTTGTTAAACATGAACGGCCATTTATAAAACCATGTTGCGACTCAATTATTAATTTATGTTTTTCAAGATGAAGACGAATTTTATTTGCTATTATAGATTCGAGTAACTTTCCCACAATAGACGTTAGGCTAATTGGTCGATAGTTAGACGCAAGTGATCTATCTCCTTTCTTAAAAACTGGTATCACATTAGCAACTTTCCAAAACTCTGGCACTCTGCCTGACTCTATTGATTTATTAAATATGGTTGACAGTGGGTCACAAAGCTCCTCTTTGCATTCTTTAAGCACCCTAGCAAACACTTCATCCGGCCCTGGGGATTTGTTTGGTTTGAGTTTTACTATTTGTTTAAGAACATCCTCCCTGGTAACTGCTAAACTCGTCAACCTGTCCTCGTCCCCACCCACATAGACTTGTTCGGCTGAAGGCATATTGTTAAGTTCCTCTTTAGTAAATACAGATACAAAATATTTATTAAAAATACTACTCATCTCTTCATCACTATCTGTTATTTGACCTGTCTCAGTTTTTAATGGACCTATCCTTTCCCTAGTCTTAGTACGATATAACTGAAAAAACCCTTTAGGATTTGTCTTTGCTTGCCCTGCTATGCGAACTTCATAGTTTCTTTTTGCTTTCCTTATCTCTTTTTTAACATTTCTAACCAGTTGTACGAATTCCTGTTCTAAAGTGACCTCCCCATTTTTAATCCTTTTGTACCAAGCTCTCTTTTTACCTATAAGGTTCTTCAAATTCTTTGTTATCCACTTTGGGTCATTAGTATACGATCTATTCAATTTGTATGGTATACTACGTTCCTGTGCTTTGTTTAGAATATTCTTAAATAAGTTATATATTGAATCCACATCGAAATCCCCATTTAAGTCACCTATCGCTGGGTTCATGTCTCGCTCCAAGACCGGCCCACACCCCATACCCAAGCCTTTCCAATCAATTTGACCCAAAAAATTTCTTAGGCTATTAAAATCAGCTTTTCGAAAATCTGGCACTTTAACAGAATTTTCTCCTACTGGTCTATTCCATTCTATGCTAAATCTGATTTCTTTGTGATCACTGCTCCCTAGCTCACTCCCTATTTCGATGTCATTAATTTGCGTTACCCTGTTAGTTAACACTAAATCTAAAATATTATTTTCCCGTGTTGGTTCCTTAATGTGTTGCGTAAGAAAGCAATCGTCAATTAATTCTAGAAAATCTTCTGCTTCACTATTCCCTGTTTTGTTCAACCAGTTTATTCCGCTAAAATTAAAGTCACCCATGACATAAATACTGTTAGATCTAGATGCTCTAGATATTTCATCCCATAGATGCTTTGCTTCCATTCTGTCTAAATTTGGTGGCCTATATATTACTCCTATTATAATATTATTAGCTTTTTCGTTTAATTCAATCCAAATAGTTTCTGTGTGTGGCTCTGTTTTGATTCCCTCTTTGAGACTACATTTCAAATTGTCCCTAACATATATGGCTACTCCACCTCCTCGTCTAATATATCTATCTGTGTGAAATAGTTTAAATCCATATATTTGATATTCAGCTAATAGTTCTCTATTTTCTACATTCATCCACGTTTCGGTAAGTGCAATAATATCTATTTTTTCTGTGCAGACAAGAGCATTTAATTCGTTAATTTTATTTCTTAGACTTCTACTGTTAGTGTAATATACCCTAAGTGAATTGTTATTTTGCGGACCTTCTCTTTCCCTGATCGTTTTGCCAATTCCTTTCTCCCACAAACACATACTTTTATTACCTCCTTCCTCCAAATCAATTCCCATACCTCTATCTACTAACAGTTTAAACCCAAACAAACACCTCTAACCACTTCTTCTAGCGAGTTCGCAACAGCAACAACCCCAGCTCTCGATAGATGCACCCCATCACGAGCATACATTTCATTTCTTCCATAGAAGTGTTCCCAGTTGTCTATGAAAGATATTGCATTTGATTTGCAATATCTTTCTTATTACTCTTCAAGGAAATAAAGGAAAAATATATGATGAAAGTATCAGCTGTGTAGACTAAAATCATAACTAACCAACAACTCCACTTTTATCTTGTAATATTCCAAACTGTCAATCATTTTAGGCATTAACAATATGACTCAACTAACACTCTCCTTGTGCCTGAGGTCACGGTGATGTTAGTTTCTATAAGCTATGACGACGCTTAATTTATCTTATGTTAACAAATTATGTACCCTATTACCCACAGAAATCACAATAGCGTGATGCATCATATGAACAAATCCACAAGGGCTGTGACGACGATTCGAACCTACGTCCAAGAGCATCCCAGAGCATCCTCCCAAACCAGGGAGGATTCTGCAGCCTCCCTGGTTTGTGTATCGGAGAGGCTGCAGGATCCAAATAAGTTCAGTAGAACTTTCTGGTTTCAATTCTTTTTACCATGTCGTAGCATAGTCGATTAAGGCGGCGTCTGGGATGCTCTCGGTCGTAGGTTCGAATCCTCGTCACGGCCCTTGTGGATTTGTTCATTTATGTACCGTCTGTAGCCTTCCCCACAGTCACTGGATGGGTATATCGGGTACATGACGAATGAGTTAAACCAAACACAAAACTCAAAAATATTTTACTGTGGTGAGAAGAGAAATATTTGTTACAAAAATGTGTTTTTTAAGTCCGTTCTGCTATATAATAATGTATATTATGCATTATGAGTATTGTGACGATAATCTCTTTCAAGAGAAATTGAGCCTGCTCTTCCCTTCAAAGTACGTAACAACAACAGATAATATAGAAGATATATCCAGCAAGTATCTCCAAAACATTTTGCCCAGAGAGCAAAACGTATCCAGCACACCGGCACACTTGCTCGCCACCGCCACCGTAAACCGGCAAACTGTTTGTCCATTGCCTGCCTGTCGCTGATTGGCTGGTGTCCCGTTGCACCTGTCCTTCACCCTCCGCCACAAGTTGATGTCTGGGCTGCAGTGGCCCAGAGTCGTCAGAATATTCCAGTGCTCCTTGCAGTTGACATCTCTCATTGGTAGACTAAGCCTTGGCTTTCGTGTACTAAGGGAGGTGGCAGCTCGAAGCCAATATTCCGGCATCATTATTATATATTTTGCTATAACTCGCTTGTCTCAACGTAACTTTTCATTTACCAGTGATTATTCTTATTATTTTGTTTGTTGACTTGTCTTGTATATTTTATACTTTATTTTATTCATGTCTTGTTTTTCTAACGTAATTAAAATTTCATTGTTAAATTTACTTGTGTTTTGTGTCTTCCCATTACCTTACCACAGACGAAAGTTCCAGCTTTTTCTCTTTTTTTTTCTTTAATGTGACGAGGCCCTGCCCCTAGCTTTTGAAACAGCCGAACACCAACGCTTTACCGTCACAGTATATTATGTAGTGTATTAGTGTATATATTATTAGTGTATATGTATATTAGTCCGGGTAGATGGGACTCGATAACCTGGGAAGGCAGCCCATCTAGGGGAAGGAAAACCCTGATTTTAAACCTCCGCTGCCTTGTGGCCATACCCCTTTTTTTGGGAAAGGCTTCAGGAGTCAACCTCGAGGAAAAATCCGTAGTTGGAGCCCCTAAGGCAGTTCGTTGTTGATGACGACCTCGTTCTGGCAGCTCCTGCGACGTTGCTGGAACCATGTGTATTGGCATTTGCCTTTCTATTGGATAATTTCAGCAACGTGGAGAGGGGGGGGGCCTGCTGCATGGGTAACAGCTTCTCCATATCTACCTACCCAGGCTTTGCGCCCTGTCAGGGCGCAACTCCATAGTCTTAGACTGAAGGATGCCTACTATGCCTACTATAGTGTATATATATTACGCATTGTATTATGTAGTGTGTGTGTGTGTATATATTATGTATTGTATTATGTAGTGTGTATATATTATGTATTGTATTATGTAGTGTGTATATATTATGTATTGTATTATGTAGTGTGTATATATTATGTATTGTATTATGTAGTGTGTATATATTATGTATTGTGTATATAATATGTGTTGTGTTTTCCTGTGTTTCTGTTATTTTTTATTTTATTTATTTTTGGGTGCATGTTAAGAGATTTAATAATTCTGTGTACACATTCTATATCAACGATGATGATGTGCCTTTTCTAGTATGGACAAAAGAGGCAAATAGTAAAACAGAGAGGGGAAGAGATAAAGAAAAGGGGAAGTGACAAAGAGAGGGGAAGGAAGAAAAGGTGGAGAGAGACATACGAGAGAATGAGTGTATCCAAATCCACCATTCGCGATATAAAGACTGTTATTAAACTGATCAGTTTGTATTTCCTGTCATTCCCTTTGACCTCGTATCACGCCCTCTCCCCCTTGATATCCTTATCACTTATCTTCTTCTATCTCTTCCCTTCATCTTGAAATGCCTCGATAACTCATCGTCTCTACTGACCAAGTCGCTCTTCGAGTCTTTACCTCATTACATACGGTAAGGTAAGCACAGAGTTCTTAACCAATACCACCATATAGCACTTGAAAGGAATATGAGACAGACTAAGAAAACGCTAAGCCAGTGCGGCCATATGGTACATTGATGGTGATGCATTAGGAAAAGTTGGAACATTTATCAAGTAGATTAAGTAGAAAAATATTGAGAGAGTTTGAGGTCGGTCGAAATATTAGATATATGAACCCTTAATTGCCGTCACCCCCCCCCCCCCCTTCATCAGCACCGCTACCTGACCAATATCCTCTCAACAAGTGCCACTAGGGGCCTGACAGCTGAGTGGACAGCGCTCTGGATTCGTAGTCCTAGGGTCCGAGGATCGATCCCCGGCGGAGGCGGAAACAAATGGGCAGTTTCTTTCACCCTGATGCCTCTGTTCACTAGTAGTAAATAGGTACCTGGGAGTTAGACAGCTGCTATGGGCTGCATTGAAAAAAATCAGTTGATTGAGAGTTGAGAGGCAGGCCCAAAGAGCCAGAGCTCAACTCCCCACAAGCACAACAAGGTGAGTACAACTTGCTGAGAGGAGAATTTGTAGATGTTTATCTCTGAGAATGTTTGGTAATATGTTATTGTTAGTGATGTGTTTATATGTATGTATTAACACGATGTACTGAACGGGGTGAGAATAGCTTGAGCTACCTCATCCCTTTGTGTGTATTTTACCTCAATAAACTTATTTCAATTTCAACTTACTGAGCCTAAGGCGTTCCTGGGCGTGGTAGGCGACCAGTCGCTCCGGCAGGGGCTGGCCAGGATGGGCGGCGTCGTAGTCATCCCGGGACCGTTGTAGCAGCTCCACGGGCTGGGGCAGGGCACCAGTATATGGTAAGGTATGACACAAAGGTTTGGCACGGGATATAATTCCAGCACTGACACCGGAGGCACACATGACCAGGATAACATCAGCAGTATATGGGAGGTAAACATTAGAATGTCGTTAAGAAGCCTAAATCAGGACTCCTTCAAGGCAATCTACATAACCTTTGTTAAACTAATACTGGAATATGCAGCACAGGCTGGGAACCCCCCATCTTATAAAGCATGAAACAAACACTGAAAAAGTACAGAGATTTTCAAAATCTTTTTGTCAGAGGGAACTATATCTCGCAACTCTAGAGGACAGAAGAAATTGAGAGGATATGATCCCAACATACAGGATACTGAGGGGATTAGTCAGCGTTGACAAGGACAGCCTCTTTAAATTGAGTGAGAGTAGGATGAGAGGACAAGTGGAAACTGGAACAGCAGAAGAGTCGAAGATATGTGAGGAAATACTGGTCCTCCGTACTAGTGGTCAACACTGGCTTCAGGCCACAGTCAACAACAAACTAGAGCGTCAGAAACCTAGCTTACAACACTATAGGTACAACAAGGCTGGCAGGCGGGGGATAAGAGCCAGACCTCACTTTCCATTAGTGACTGGTAGGTAAGTATTGATAGTTATACTAGTGGCTGACCTTGATGGAGAGACGTCTGCAGGCCTCCAGAGAGCGGGGGCTGGTGAGGATGTAGGGGCAGTCCTGGTGTTGGGGCAGGTCGAAGTTGTACAGGTCAAGCCGCACGCCGCCCTCCACACTCTTCATGCTGCATTGTTCTCACACCTCTGGTAAGGTCAGAAAAGAGTGCGTGTACTCACCTAGTTATGCTTGCGGGGTTTGAGCTCTGGCTCTTTGGTCCCGCCTCGATCTCAACCGTCAATCAACTGATGCATAGATTCCTGAGCCTACTGGGCTCTATCATATTTACATTTGAAACTGTATATGCCCGAAATTTTTGTTTGAAATTTAAACCGAAATGTTTATGCCCGAAACGCTTTGCGTAATAGTGGCTTTAGGCATTGTATGTACTAGCCCTAACTATAAATCCATCACTCTTTGTAAAATCTCTTTTATGTATGTACCTTACCTAAATAAACATTTTGATTTTGATTTTGATTTTTATATGGAGTCAGCCTCCACCACATTACTGCCTAGTGCATTCCATTTACTAACTACTCTGACACTATAAAGCTCTTTCTAATGTCTCTGTGGCTAATTTGGGTACTCAGCTTCCACCTGTGTCCCCTTGTGTGTGTACCACCCGTGTTAAATAATCCATCCTTGTCTACCCTGTCAATTTCCCTGAGAATTTTATATGTGGTGATCATGTCTCTCCGGGCTCGTTTGTCTTCCAGCGATGTGGGGTGCAGTTCCCTCAGCTTTTCCTCGTAACTCATGCCTCTTAGTTCTGGGACTAGCCTAGTGGCATACCTCTAAACTTTTTCCAGCTTCGTCTTGTGCTTGACAAGGTACGGGCTTCATGCTGGGGCCACATACTCCAGGATAAGGGGAGATGAGGGGAGTGTCAGTGGTGGTGAAGGGAAGATTAGGGGAGAATGTGAAGGTGGTGTGTGTGGGGGGGGGGGAGGAGAGAAGGGAGGGAATTATCAGGGAAAAGTGCAAAGCCATTAGACTGTATAGCACTGGGAAGGGATCAGGATAAGGATTCGGGATGGGACGGGGGGAAAGGAATGGTGCCCAACCACTTGGACGGTCGGGGATTGAACGCCGACCTGCATGAAGCGGGACCGTCGTTCTACCGTCCAGCCCAAGTGGTTGGTGAGGGAGGAGAGAAAGAATGAGAGAAGCGGTAACAATCAGGTGTTGGCATTATTGTAAACACACATTATTTTAACAAAGGGTAGAGTCAATATAATGTTAAACTATAATAGGTAAGGTGGCCTGGTTGCTTCTATAGTTCCTCTGAACCTACAGAAACATCTTTGTCAAATCCGCAGGTAAGGTAGTATTAACTACGTTGGAATCGTTAGCATCCAAACGGCATTAATTTGTTTTTGTCGGGGACAGGCAGCCTGTGTATATACATATTTTAGGTATTGTCTGTATTGTGTTGCTGTTGTAATCTTGGGTATACATAGTAATCTATGGCTAACCTAATTAATCTGTATTAAAGATTAAAGAGTATATATATTGTTAAGTTGCTAGCATTTCAGATGTTTCTGAATGTCATTTCTGGAACAAGTATATAAACAAGCCCATTTAATTTCATATTATTTTGAACTGAACGTGAAAATAGTTTTAATTCTAAACTAAACCTTATATTCCATATATAATACGTATGTAGGTCTAATAATCAAATGCTGTACTTTGAGCAAACATAAGAGGAAACTGTGTGTATGTATGTATATATATATATATATATAAATATATATATATATATATATATATATATATATATATATATATATATATATATATATATATATATAGACAATTTCACGGCTTAGGTAATAAATAGTATTTTATTTACCCTTGGCGCTAATTATAACGAAAATGTAAGCGAGCAAAATCATAGATTTTAAAACCTTGTTTTGAAATTAATCTGTTTCTTGTCTACTGTTTTACATCACCCTATATAGAGGGAGTGCACCAAAACAGAGCACGGACGGTACTCACAGTGTTTTATGCGATTAAACCAGACATGAGAGCCATCGAGAGAGGCGCCGTCTACAGTGCGTCTTGAAGATGATGGTGTTTTGCCTGGCGCGTCTTGGTAGCGTCCGTAGCAACGCCCTAGCAACCACCTGCCGCCCCAGGCATGCGTGGTTCCACCAGCTGTGATTGTACTCGCCTGATTGTGCTTGTAAGAGTTGAGCTTCGGCTCTTTGATCCTGCCTCTCTCTATCATTCAACTTGTGTTCAGGTTTCTGAGCCTGGTTATTGGGTTCTATGATAATATTTGGTAGATATAAGTCAATAACGTGTATGAATATCCTGTATTTCCTGTCCCCCGACACAATGAATTATTATTATTATGAATTATATATTTGAAACTGTGTATGAAAGAAACTGTGTATACGCTCCTTATTGCATTCCACTTTTTCACTACTCTGACACTGTTGACCTGATCTACCCTGTCAATTCCCTTAAGAATTGTAAGGAAATCATGTCACCCCTCACTCTTGTGTCTTCCAGCGACATAAGGTTTAATTCCTATATTCGTCATTATAGTTCATTCCTCTCAGTGTGCTGGGTTTACTGTCTGTTGGAATGTCTCTGCTGAACTGTAGCAAGTATATTATGTCAGTAATATACTTGCTCCATATTCTCCTTAGCTTATATGCTGGTAATGAGATGGGTCTCTTAATTCTACTTGGTTGTTTGTGTTAGATTTAGCTACTATGAAGGAAATGTCCATGTAGTGTGTGGTCTGGAGCGAGCAATGTGATCATTGCTGTCTTCTTATATGTGCTATCAATCTACTGTATGGTGTCTATTAATCTTGTTTAAATTACCAATCAAGCTGTCAATGTAATCAATCAGAGCTTTAATATACCAATGTGCTTTAATATACTTACTAATCTCTCTCATCTCATTTTTTTCTTGCAATGTATTTGTTATCATTTTATTAATTCTGCTAGAATTTACCTACTTAAAATTATCTGTTAGATTAAGGACCTGCCCGAAACGCTGAGCGTACTAGTGGCTTTACAAGAGTGTAAATACTATGCTATGTATTCTCACAAACCCAACGTACCTTCTTGTATATAAATAAATAAATAAATAAATAAATAAATAAATAAATAAATAAATAAATAAATAAATAAATAAATAATAAAGTATAAGGTTTACTCGCTACAAACGAATACCGCGACCCATAATTCCACCGCAAATTCCCAAACGGACAAATGCAATTCCTGGAAGAGGACAACGATCCTGATGGTGCCAAATTCCTGAGGTTGTTCTGTTCAGGTATAAAGCGTCGCCTTGCACATTAAACTGCAACCTGGCGACCAAGCGTCCTGTGGGCCATAAACTGCAACCTGGCGACCAAGCGTCCTGCGGGCCATAAACTGCAACCTGGCGACCAAGCGTCCTGCGGGCCATAAACTGCAACCTGGCGACCAAGCGTCCTGCGGGCCATAAACTGCAACCTGGCGACCAAGCGTCCTGCGGGCCATAAACTGCAACCTGGCGACCAAGCGTCCTGCGGGCCATAAACATAAACTGCAACCTGGCGACCAAGCGTCCTGCGGGCCATAAACTGCAACCTGGCGACCAAGCGTCCTGCGGGCCATAAACTGCAACCTGGCGACCAAGCGTCCTGCGGGCCATAAACTGCAACCTGGCGACCAAGCGTCCTGCGGGCCATAAACTGCAACCTGGCGACCAAGCGTCCTGCGGGCCATAAACTGCAACCTGGCGACCAAGCGTCCTGCGGGCCATAAACTGCAACCTGGCGACCAAGCGTCCTGCGGGCCATAAACTGCAACCTGGCGACCAAGCGTCCTGCGGGCCATAAACTGCAACCTGGCGACCAAGCGTCCTGCGGGCCATAAACTGCCAGCGACCATGAAGACCCCAGCCATCCACAGCTGGGGCTTCATGGTCGCCAGCCATCTCCACTATCAGCTATTGGTACTGGTAATGGGTCCAAATGAGCCTCCACTTACGGACTGTTCATGCCCATGCCACCTTTTAGGTGGCTTAATCTTTATTAATCAATCAATCATCATCAGGGAGCCGGTCGGCCGAGTGGACAGCACACTGGACTTGTAATCCTGTGGTCCCAGGTTCGATCCCGGGCGCCGGCGAGAAACAATGGGCAGAGTTTCTTTCACCCTATGCCCCTGTTACCTAGCAGTAAAATAGGTACCTGGGTGTCACGGGCTGCTTCCTGGGGAGTGGAGGCCTGGTCGAGGACCGGGCCGCGGGGACACTAAAGCCCCGATATCATCTCAAGATAACCTCAAGATAACATTGTGATTTAGACATCACAAAAACAATGGTTGCCAACGCCCAGTGAGGTGTGGAGTCTACAGCCACGACACGAAAATATGTCTGGATAAACACAAGGCTAACCAGCCCGTTCAAGCTAACTGCCTAATTGCTCCAGGGCACACCACGCCTGGAGCTTAAGATGCCCCGAAAGGCTTAATTAATTAAAAGGATCCAAACGAACCCCCACTCCGACAGCAGAGCAGAAGTTCCAACTAAAATATATACCAGCTCCCCTGCCCACAAAAACAGTATGGAGCTTACCAAGACCAAAGCAGGTAAAGGGGCACATATGGCCCTCCACCATTGGCCATGGTGGAGAGTGAGAAGGCCTCCATCCAGGACAGAGGGATAGATGGGGGGCCACAAGAAAATAGTTTAACGTATTCGCTCGCCCATTGCATCCAGTAAGCATATTGGGGGCAATGAAGGCAAGAGTGTCCGAGTTTCCACTGATGAATAAACAGGCCCCAAACTATCACAGCAGTAAGTGCTCCCAGGACACCCTCTGGCCAATGCTTAATTAAGGCCTTGGTCACAGAATTGGTCGAAAGTTTGCTGTCGAAACATGGTATCAAGCAAACCACAGAGACTCGAAAGACAATTGAGGACAAGCTCAAGAAATTCGAAAAACAATATCCTCACCTTCAATAATGCAGGGAAGGAAACACTCTCCTAAAAAACAGGTAGAGTCCAATAATTCTGAAAGGGACCTTGATGAGACAGTTTCAAGTACACCAAGAGTCTCACCTTCAATTTCAACTTCCATAGCGAGTTCATCTGACTCCATGGATACCACGGTAATA